ATTCAAAGTATTGAGCTTTAAATGTGGACTGTCATAACTTTTGTTTACTCAAGTTGTGGTCATGGCTGATGTTTAAAAAAATGTTATACCATGTCAGGAGTGCAACAGAAAAAATGTAGTGTTGCCAAAAAAACATCAATTGTAAAATTCTCATAGAAAATTAAGACAAAAAAGAATTTTGGAAGTGTGAAATAATAACTGATATACATTTTAAAACTTAAAAATGTTATATAAATCACAAGCAGCATTAATGAGAGTCAAGTATATGTGCATATACCCAAAATTGTCAGGAGTGCAACATTTGATGTTTTGCTCCAAAGCATGAAAAAACTATTATCATTATATGATTTTCTGATTTTTGTTTTGGAAAATAAAGACACTAAGAACATTTTTACCAAATAGATTTATCAATTACAGGATCTATCTGTGCTTCAGATCCATATTTCTATGGTCAGGAGTGCAACACATTTTTTTAAAGATTCAAGTTGTGTGAAGAAAAGACTTCTATTCATGCTTAGAAGTATTCATTAATTAACAATGATCTTTTTGTATAATTTAATGCTAAATTATTGACAGTTTTATTATTAAAATCCTTCCTTTTTCAATTTTATCAATTCAGATGCGTTTTTATTTTTTTGTGTGATTTTTTTAATGAACGTTAAAAATAAACACACTAAAACATTGTCATTAAATTCAAGTAATTCCTCCTCAACTTCACTGAAACAACAGAACAAGTTCTTACGTAATTTTCACTTCACAATTCTACTTTAAAGGTCCCAATGCTTTTGGTCAGGAGTGCAACAAATATGTTAGAATTATTAAATCATCCAATAAGAATAAAAATAAAGAAAAAATGATGAGTAGAATTTTTCTGGTGGGTTACTGTGTTTGTCTTCTAAAGGAAAATATGCTTTAAAATATATTTTATCTTCTAAATATACACTTAAGCTAGTTTTTTGGCATAAAATAGGATATAATTCCAGATAAAATGTGAATTTTAAATACTTTCATCTGTTTAATTATGAAGTATTGGACTATAAGTATTGCACAATTTCATTACCACTTGATGTTGCCAACACTTTATGAATTTTTGTGTTCTATGGTTTTAATTTTAAACTTTACTGCAGTCAGGAGTGCAACAAAACTGGTTAATAATTACCGATGCTTTTTAACTATCTTTACTAAAAAAAAAGTTGAAAAAAAATGCTTGATACTATTTAATGTTCAAAACACTATGTCTATCAACAAATTACAGAAATTTTACAGTCAATTCAGGGAATAGTTTTCATCATTTCACATATATTTTAAATACAATTTATATATATTACACTTTGCAAATAATCATGTTTTAAGGTCTTCAAAATATGAAAAACCTGCTGTAAACGATGAAAAATATCAACACGACAAATTGATTTACAAAGTAAGAATGGGTTATTGTGTGTTATAATTTTTAAAACAATGTTAAATAAAATACATATCAGATGTCAGGAGTGCAACACAATAATGTAACATAGGATCACTTCAAAATCTAGTATTTTTTGTAAGAGAACTCGTATATAACAATTCTTTTTTGGCCTAGATTTAAAGAATTGACTTGAAAGGACAAAAAAGTGAACTTTGGGGAATTTTATTTGCTTCATATTTTTTTCATATTAAAACTTTTCAAACCAGAATTGAAAAAATAATGTAAAATAACAATCAAAAAGCCAATTTTTTGTCATATGTACAAGAGAAGATACTCATTCAAGGTCTAGATTTAATCATTTATACCCTTTTTACCATTTTGAAGCATAAAAAACTATAATTTCTTGTGATTATGTATTTTAGAAAGTCTTTCAAGGTGTAATGATATTTTCTTTTTTCAAAAGAAATTTTACTAATAAAAATTCTGAAACTTTTTAATCCAATTGTCTATTCCATTGCCACTTCAGGATTTTAAACTAGAATGTATTTGCAATATGACGATATAAGTGAAAAATATGCTATAAGTAGTTGAATTTTGCCAAAAAAATTCAGTTTGGTGGTCATTTTTTTTTTTTTTTTTTTTTTTTTTTTTTTTTGAATTTACCCATCTACAGGATACAACCAATCATACTGAAACGAGTATCTAGGAGCTGAATAAATGTAAGAGTTCTAGGAACCAGGATTTAACAGATAAAAGTCGTTTTAATCCCAAATTAGCCTTAAGGCTTAAATGAAAATTCTGAAATCAAAGACACAACCAAGATTTTCCAAAAGATGATTTGTCTTCAGCATAAAATGTTCGAGGAGTTATTGGAACTAGGTTTTCGGGGAAAAGGGTTGTTTTTCGACCCCAAATAGACCCCTAAGGTGAAAGTGAAAGTTCTGAATTCTTACTGTACATCTACAGGACCCAACCAATGATATTCCAATAGATGACTTGGCTACTGTGTAAAGTCTGGGAAAAACTTATCGTCAAATCTCATCTGTAAATTTTCTATGCGTTTACTTTTACTTAATATTAAAATTTTCGATTTATCAGTATTTATGTTTACATTCCATTTTTTTACAATCTAGAAGCTTAGTAGATATTTTTGTAATTTTTCAGAAGGTTCTGCTACCAGTTCAGTGTCATCTGCACATAGAATTGCAAATAAATTGACAAATATATTTAATTTGTTCTCAAACATCTCTGATATAGTTGATAACCCTCAGTATTGGACGCATCCAGAAAATCGTGTTACAAGTCATTTAGATACATGGAAAATAAAAATGATGACATATTTTCACCCTGTCTAACACCATTTACACATTGAAAAAATTCTGATTGTTCTTGATTATAAACAATTCTGGAAATTCTTTAAAAATATCAAACATTTTGCCACTAATATTGTGAGATAAAAGTTTAAACCACAATATTTTTTATCAACGCATTATCAAAAGCTTTCTCAATATCTACAAACATACAAAAATAATTTTTTCTTCTTTATTTTCAGTGGTTCAAATGGAATATGTATCGAAAATAAATTATCCGTTGTTGAATATCCTTTTCTAAATCCTGTTTGACGAGAGAACGTGGAATGTCTTAAACTAATGATTGAGTACTTGATTAAATAACAAGGTGTTGCTCAAGTTGAAACAAAACACGATCATGATTGTAAAAGTGCACAATATAAGTATTCTCTTTACCAAAGGAAGGTGTATTCGAAACACATAAGTTGATTCATAACAAATACAAGGTTCATAAGTGGATAATGAACAAGAACAGTTTCTAAACACACTTTTCACTCCGGAAACCAAAGAATTCAAGCTAAACATACTTAAGATTTTATCAGACACTGTACTAATTTTTGTTTATATAAATGGATATGCTTTCCTAAATCTCATTTATCATATATATATATATATATATATATATATATATATATATATATATATATATATATATATATATATATATATATATATATATATAATTCAAAAGTAGTTAAAAGATGATGTCACACAGTAAAAATAATCATAAAAGAAAATGCACAGTTTCCAAATTTCATTCAACACAAGCGCTTTCTGGATTATTTAATTATCCGTCTTCAGGAGTTAATACAAAATGTATTAACACCTGAAGACGGATGATTAAATCCAGAAAGCGCTTGTGTTGTGTGAAATTTGGAAACTGTGATATATATAAAATGGAAAGAATCCTCCGTAAAGCTTTACTGAGGATTTTTCTGTTTTCTTTTCTAATTTATTTATATTCTTATCCGTTTAAACCGAGACTTCATTTCAATTTTGGATATATGTCTCAAGTGAAAAAATATTAGTAAAGAAAGCACATAATATTAATATACAAAGCACAGGGAAATTCACTTTATAAAGATACTCACCGCCGCCCCAACTGGGGAGCTACGGAATCTGTCTCCTAAAAGTGCAGGAACATCTTCAAAAATTTGCTTTCGATGCCAGTGGAATTCTCGCGAAGCAACTCTATACTACATGTACACAGCCATTGTTTCAGATGGCCGAGCGGTCAAGCGCGCCTGCCCTGAGCACTACTGAGAGTCAGACAGATTCTGTAGTTCGAGAGTTCAACTCCGGTTGACTGAGAATCCTTGTAAAATGATTCTTTGTGAATTAAATGTGATTCAAAATAATGTAATTGCAATAGGTATCGGTAACGATCCTCTAATAAAACTAATGTCCAATTCGTTATAACGAGGTACTAACATTCCATGTCAGAATTGAGTCTGTCATTATTCGTATTTACACCGGCTTTCGTAGTTCAAATTGAAAAAAAAAAAGAAAAAAAAACCCGGCCCTGCTCAGGATTATATGACATGTCAAACATTGCAATATTCTATCTTTTCCATTTGTATTGAATAATTTTCTATTTGTATTGTAAAATTTTCTATTTGTATTCTATAATTTTTCATTTGCATTGTAATTTTTTTTTATTTGTTTTCTATAATTTTCCATTTGTATTCTATAATTTTCCATTTGAATTGTATAATTTTCCATTTGAATTGTATAATTTTCCATTTGTATTCTATAATTTTCCATTTGTATTGTATAATTTTACAATACAAATGGAAAGTATACAATACAATTGGAAAATTTACAATGCAAATGAAAAATTTACAATGCAAATGAAAAATTATACAATACAAATGAAAAATTGTAGAATACAAAGGGAAATTTATAGAATACAAATAAACATCATACAATACAAAGAAAAAATTATGCAATGCAATTGGAAAATTATAGAATATAAATGGAAAATTATGCAATACTAAGGGAAAAGATCTAATATTGCAATGTTTGACATGCCATAGGATTATTTTAAACTGTTGCATTATTCTGACTGTCGCCCTGAAGAAGGATAAACAATAAAGACTTAAAATGGTATTAGTACTTATGATAATAATAAAAGGGGGACTCAAAGTCGAAATAACTTAGTCTGAATTATTAAGAAATTGTGAATTTCTGCCCGAATTGTCTAAGCTGTTTATCCGGAAGTTAGCCTAAAAAATGAAAGCAGACACAAAATGACAAATTTAAGATTTGTATTTTGAAAAAGACGATCGTTTTCGTTAAATAACACCGTGTTTTCTTTCAAAAGGTATGTATTTCATCAAAAAGTTGTTATTGTGTAATATGTTGACGGTGCAACCGTTGGGGCGAGCGCAGTGTTCACTTCATTATTATGATCCGCCTCTTCAAACCGCACGAGACATTTGGAACTTCTAGACTGTGACGTCACATGACGTCGTATGTTAGCTGCATTTCCATAAACAAAGTTTAAAAAGTGCAAATATTTTAACAAAGAACGTTTAATCTACTATCTGCATGCAATATCCATTAAATTAAGGTGTGAATTTTTAGTTGTTGTCACCGCGTGAACGAAGTTAGCAGCGAGAACAAGAAGCGTTGCATTGTGGGTCAGAATTACTGCGGAAAAAAATTCTATTGAATGAATGTGCAGTAGTCTGAATTTTCTCTTCGCCCAGGCGTTGTCGTTAGAGCTCGCAGTGACGAGCGGCGCTTCGCGCCGCTCGCTGCGCTCGCTATAAATTTGCTACAGATCATTCCTTCCTTTGTTCCACAAGTTGAAAAGTGTCAACATGGTTGAACATGGAAGTTTTTACATGCTTTGATTCGGGATTTGGTAAATTATGAAACACTGTTAAAGAATATAATTTATGCTACATATTTTATATTTATCTCTAATTTTGTGCTAGATTCTCTTTTATGATCAAGAATGATAAAGAATAGTGTCCACAAGCCTTTAGACCTGAAGCCACGGAAAAGAGAATTGTGTTAACGCCCACTTGATCTGTTTATAGGGTTTAGTACAATTACTACATTTAGTGCTTCGTAGCTTGAATTACCTACGTAGCTTTATTTGGCTACTTTAAGTAACATAAAATTATTAAGCTATTTTCATGCACGTTTTTATGAATTTCCTTTTTATTTAACAAAAAATTGCAAGTGTATGACTATATTTGTACTATGGAGTTTTAAAACAGCAATCCAGAGCAAATTTAGTTTAAACACTGCTGCTTTTGTACAATTTTAAGCAAAAGATGTTATTCTATTGTTTGAGTAACTGTACACTACATTGTGTGCAGTGAGGCATGGATAAGTATGACAGTCTGAAGAGGGGGTTGGTTTTAATCAGACTGTAAGTATGATTACTTTACATTGTGTTGAATTATTACCATTCAATTATCATGTTAACCAAAACTTGTCTTCTTTGTTATTTTTTCAAGAAGTAACTGTTTGGTCGCAAATTAATTGTTGTATGTAGCCCCAGAACTCTTAAAACTTTGATTACAATTGCACTGAAGGAAACACATCTTCTATCTTCATTTTCTAGCAGCTTCTATACAAGCATTTTAAGTTACCTAATAATTCTATTTTGTCAATGAAAGTTAGAATTCTAGAAAAGATTTACTATCATACTACTAGTACACCTTTCCGTAGACAACAAGAAGAATACTGCAGGGGTGTGCAATTACCATCAGCCCGACGCCCGGGGCTACCAATTTTAGAGGTTGGGCTATCATAAATCTATACTGTGTTAGCCTGTCAGGCCAGTAAATCTAAAACGAAAGTATACGTATATTTACGTCGACTGAATTGATGTACGAATTAACTTTGTTGTAAAATCATAATCTTTAATTCGTTTTAACCTGTATGTATTTTGTGTTGCTATCACCAGTCGTTTCAGTGACAATTATAGTCGATAAAAATAGGGAGAAGTACATGACAATAACCAAGCTCCCTTCAGAGTTGTCATTCATTTCTCTCTCAGACCCCTCTGCGATGGGCTCATGTCAATATTTTTGACATATAAACGTAAAAAAAATTGGCATTCCAAGGATTATTTCAAATTAAACTAATAGTTATAGATACACTTAGTAAATATTTACCTTAAAAGAGAAACATTAGTGCAGACATTTAATTATAATGAATTTAAACAAATGCACTATTTCTTGTCCTTAACACTGTGACATACTCGAGCCAACGACAGAGGTGAATGTATGAGCTGATGGTAGAGAGTGGACAATAACAAAGCGCAAACCATTATTTGTTTCATTTATTTTAACTTAAATTGTTTTATTTTTTACCTTTTTGTTATACTTATACATGTATTGTTTTAGGTAGTTAATGGGCTAGTGACTGGCAACCTCGGGCTAGTAACTTTGTTACTGCCACTAGCCAGACGGGCTAGTAACTAATTTTTGTAATTGCACACCCCTGATACTGGATTAGGAAACTAGGTACTTCCTTTCCATATGGTAGCAATGACAATGTTGATAGTGTTGGGAATCGTTCAAACCCACAGTGTAGCAATGTGAATCAATGTGATGGGACTTTTTACCAGAACACAGAGACTGTCAGAGAGTGAGACGTAAGCGTAGTCATGGACATTGGCCTTACAATAAACCTATTATACACAATGTCTCTTTTGATTCATATACACAATGTCTCCTTTGATTCACAGTTAGGCCATCATCACATTCGCACCTAATTTTACTCTGTCCATTTGAAAGTTTTGAATAGTCTATTTGTAAAAGTCAAGGAGAGTCCTTATTTGGATTCTTCAACACCAGAATACAGGCTTGGATCTGTTATGATGGATATTGCAAATCATAGGCTCTTTAAACTGCCAGAAGAAAATATCTCTCAAAGAACCCTTTTGTTCCTTAAACTTCAATATACCAACAAAGGAATTGACGCAGTTAATATAAGTACCGATAATATTCTTAATCACAAAAAGGTCTAGACTTGTATTCCACCATATTTCAAATTGAAGTCCACACCTTTTATTTCTTACATTAATATACATTGACAGTTGCTTCCAAACTTTTTAATTATAAAAAAAAAACTCTACAGTGTCTAGATATTGAGCATCTGAAACATAATCCTCCAACATGTTCATGTTCCTCTTCACCCTACAACTATTATCCTGCTGGACATGTCATTACTGGTGATGTAAATTAAAGCTGAAACAAATACCAAACATTATTATTCGAATTTTCGGGACTACTATTCTATTGGTATTCGAATATTTGTCAATGTTATATTTAAAGTATATCTTTCTAAAATGTTATAATACTTATACCTTTTTCAGACCAAAGAAAATTTGTAAATGTATGTAATAATAAAAATGATTATGATATATAGTACTTGACGTTAAACTGCCCATTGTTAAAGCGTCTCAGAGAAAATGGAAAACAGACAATATTTTTTCTTTGGTGTGGATCTCTTTACAGTATAGACCTTATTTTATCAAGCAAGGTTAGGTTGGTTGGAGAATGTGTAAATTTATGTGCTGAAATAGGAAACTATCTTTACATGCTAAAATTTGTAAAATTCTATGCATGGAAAATACTCAAAAGTCACAGTTTGATAGTAATGACATATGCTGTAGAAAAATTGGACGTGCAAAAGTCCACGTTTGTTATTGGGGTATAATTCACATAACGCATTACTGAACATGCTACTAACATTTTAAGAGGTCAGTCTTTCAAAAAATAAGTCAGTAATAAGCTTTTAGGATTATTTCTTTTTAAAAGAAAACACATTTGTGCTATAGTGAAACTAGTGATAGAAAAACACAAGAAATGGCGCAGCGGGGCCATGCAAATGATCAGTGATGAAATTGGTAGGCGTGAATTACACTCAATATGAAAATGAAATATCTTGAGCATATATTCAAAAGGATTTACACTGAGAAAAATTATGTGCATTCTTTATTTAAATTTCTAATCATATTTCTGGTACTTTCTAATAAGAATGTACGATTTTATCGGTATAAATATATTTCATAATTTTTAATTGCGTGATACGTATCATGATACGGAGACTAAAATAGCGATATTTAGGTACTTATAAATTCCAGAATTTTTTCATTTATTTGTTCAATCTTTCAAATTACAATGAAAGGAAGTGTAAAGAATATTGAAAACGGTAAAAGAATGGCATCCTAACATTCAAAATTGCTTGATGTTATGTAAATAATAAAAATTAAAAAAGTTATGTTTTTCCCGCATATTTTTCAGAAAAATGACTTTTCATTTAAAATCATTCTAAAAATTGCTTATAAAAATATCATGATACTATCGTGATATTTTGGGAAAAATTCGTGATATATGAAATTTTTGGCAATACCCAACCCTACTTTCTAACAGTAATAAAATCCCGAGAGGTAGTAAACAGTTCAGTTGGACCATCAAAAGGATAAAGTAGCGCTAAATCCTTATTAATACTACAAGTTTTTATCATTAAAGTACCAATATAATTTAATCAACGAAGTAAACATTGAAGTATAAATCATGTTACTGAATATTCAATGCTAAATTTTTATTTGAATATTTCAATCATCAATTTCTGTTTCTTATATAGCAGTATACCCTTATCACCTGCATATGGGTGTTTGTCTCCCAGTTGACTTGATATGCAAGAGCATGCTCTACTTATCAACAATTTCTAAAACGAGGCAAGCTATTGAGAAACAAGTTAATGAAACAAGGATATCAAGAGTCTTGTTTGATATCATCATTTCACAAGTTTCATGATCGATACAATAACCTTTGTCAGCAGATACAACCAATCATTAAGTCAAAAGGTGACTGATGTTTTTCATACTGATTGTTAGGCCATTATTTACACACTGAATTGTCTACAGATTTTTCCATTTTCCCGATCATGACAATGAGCACACGGCAGGTGTGACCGGACGGCAGGGGATGCTCACTCCTTCAAGGCACCTGATCCAACCTTTGATGTTCTTGGAGGTCTGTGTTTGCTCTGCTCCCAATTTGTATTGTCTAAATGGATTTTGAGGTTGAATACTGTTTGTTATCTCCATATTTCAACTTCAAGAGTGATTTTTTTTTCTTGAATTGTTTTCAGATTAGTTCAGAGTTGAAAATTATTACTGCATGATCATCCAAGTGTGATTCTTTTGTACATGCTGAAAAAAATGATCATTTTAAGAAATAAGTTTGAATTACATTGTATTAGCTAAATTACTCCATTAGTGAATAATGCTACTTCAAGTAGGTAAATAAATCTATGTAGGTAATTTAAGCTACAAACTAAAGAGTGATTGTACCAGATTTGTTATGTGTTTACTGTAAATATAATTCATATTAAATATTTCCAATTTCTCATCCCAAGGTATCGATAAGAATTTTTTAATGTACATCGAATAGTGTTGTCACGATGATCGATTTATAATCGATAATCGATCGGAAAGGCTGTCGATTTTAGACAATCGATTAGAGATTTAACAATCGATTATAATTGGTATATTACAACACTTATCTCTTTATTGTTTTCTCACTTTTATTTCAAGAAAAAGCTATTGTTATCAATATATATCTTCCATATATATCTTCCAAGTGTTGTCATTTACCATTTTAACATACTAAAAATCTGGTTTAAAATGAAAATTTGGTTTCCATACAGATTATAAGTACAACTATGCTTGAATCATATTAAAAAAACTGTTTGTATAAATAAAATATATTGGTTATCAGTGTTTGGGGGAAATTCACTTTTCATTTCATATATGGAATCACATGGATTTGGAATATTAACTGTATAATAGTTAATAAAAATTAAATTCCATATTTTAGATGATCATGTTAATTAAAACTCTGTCAATTTTTTTTTTACCCAGGTAAAGTAAATCCTAATCAGGCAAAACTCTGTATTACTGAAATTGTTAATCAAACTGCATACTGTATTTAGAATTTTAATCTGTATAATACACCTTTACTTACATTATTATAAAATTAAACTTATACATTTTATGTAAAATTTAGTGCCTATTTCATACAAATGGTTACTGATTCGATTATTGGCCAATGATCAGTTGGTTAGAGTCAACCGATGCTGCCGATTAATTGATTCTGATTTTCAACCGATTTGACAACACTAACATCGAAAAACTATTTGTTGCTTTGTGTAGGAGATGACCTTGCGCAGGTCTAGAGAGCAAATTTATTCTTTCCTTCTTTCTAGTATCCAACTCTATTATATATATGCAGTTTGATTCCTAAACTGTCTGATTGCTGCAAATCAAATAAATATAGTGGTATATAGGCTAAATGGACTATAGATACTGACCTGGATAGCTCAGTAATTAGAGCACCTGAGTAGCAATGGAGGGGTCACAGGTCCAGCCATAAATTTTCTCTTTTCTTTCATATTTAATGCTATCACCAAGATTTGAGAATGTAGTAGTTTGGGCTATATGGACTGTGTATATTAGCCTGGATAGTCCAGTGGATAGAGCACCTGACTATTAATGCAGGGGTCCTGTTCTTGATCCAGCCATAAATTTTTCTCTGTTACACAATGTAGTCTTTCATTAACTAAAGGTGATTCTTCACAACATGGTTGTGGATAAAGCAAGACTATCAGAGGGAGGGGTGAGTGGATTGATCCCACTGCACTCCCTATTCCAGAAACCTGGTGATGAGCCCTGCAAAGATAATTAAAATGATCCACTGGAGAACAGAAGAGTATAAAGACTAAAGTTAGACTATTAATGGGAATTTGCTATTAACTGAGTTATTTTTATTTTTACTTATGTTTTATAATAAAGCAGTTTTTATAAAGGGGAAAAAAGAATTCAAAGTCTACCAAAAGAGAGCCAGGATTTTGATTTTTTAGATAAAAAGTTTACTTGTATCTTCCACAATATCAGAGGCATCAGCTTGAAATGACACATTATAAAGATGTTGTCATATTACCATGATTAATTAAATTTCTTATCCTTTTTTTTTTTTTTTTTGAAAAATTAATTTTTTTTTATATATACAGGTGATGTGTGAGCATGTAAATTCCTGAGTTCAATCCAGGCCCTTTTTGTACTGGTGTTTGCCATCATGAGGTTCAATAATAAAGAATTGGTTCATCTGGCTCACAGTGGAACATTTGACAAAGAAGGACCCCTGCTAATGAAGGACAAACTAGATGGGTTGTTTAAGAAAGGAGAAGGTAGGTTTACCGAAGTAGTTTTGCACATAGAAAACAAATTCAGTATACAAATGTAGAGCTCAGAGTAACATCCCATCGAATAACTGGTAAGTCGAATTTCATTCATTAGATATTTTGAATCCAAAATTTTGCAGCTTGAAAAGCTGATGAATTTTTCTAAAAATTGGTATAAAGTTCAAAATTGTATCATATTACAAGAATGAGGAAGATTTTCAAACTTTTGCTGAAAGTGTTTCATTTCTATAAAGTTCTATGTTACATTTCACTCAGAATTTCCCTCTTGACAGAGATTTAAATATTGTTGGTATTTATTGTTGGCTGCTAAAAGTAAATAAAATGACTTAATATTAACCTATCGCTCATACACATGTATGCCAGACTTCATCTTTCTATTGTACAGCTGTTTCAATATTCAAATCCTTCCAGAATTAATTTATGTAGAGTGAATTTGGCACATAAGATTTATTATATGTCAAAATCAGTAGATTATAGCTCTGTACTTTGTGTCATCTAATACAATATTACTTCATTCATTTTGATGTTCATATTGCAATCCACTGTGGAACGCATGATTACATTATCAGCCACGCAGTAAAGAATTTCTGTCATATACATGTATGTATTCCAAGTAGAAATTCATTCATTGATTCTTGTCAAAAAATTACTTCTGATGGAAATATTGTTTTTTTGTTTGGTTTCTTTTTCAAAAGGTTTTTATTTTCTTAACCTATGATGGTAACATTTTTTAACAGAAGTTCACTTTCCCAAGCTATTTTCTGATAAAAGAATTTTATTTGATTATCTGGAAATTGGCTAGAAAGAAGCAGACACACAAATAAATCATTCCTTTTTTCCCTTAGAATATCAGAAGCGATATCTGAGATTGAAAGGAAACCTGCTATTTTATTTCAAAGACAAAGACAAATCTGTGGTAAGGACTTTTGCCAGATATCCTAATCATTAATTTAGGACTTTTACTAGATATCTTAGTTATTAATGAGATAAAAACAAGTTTGTGGTAAGGACTTTTTCCAGATATCTGAATCAGTAAGAAAATAAATGCAAATCTGTGGTAAGGACTTTTTCCAGATATCTGAATCAGTAAGAAGATAAATGCAAATCTGTGGTAAGGACTTTTTCCAGATATCTGAATCAGTAAGAAGATAAATGCAAATCTGTGGTAAGGACTTTTTCCAGATATCTGAATCAGTAAGAAGATAAATGAAAATCTGTGGTAAGGACTTTTTCCAGATATTTTAGTTATTTCATGAGACAAAGACAAACTTGTGGTAAGGACTAGATATCTTAGTTAAATATTTTAGTATTGAGTCAAAGGCAAATCTGTGGTAAGGAGTTTCACCAAGAAGGATTTTACCAGAGATTTTTTTTAATCATTAATGAGATAAAGTTAATATGTACATGTTTGTTGAAGTTGATAAAGACAGTGCCCTTGGGACAGAAGAGTGCTGTGGCAAATACTTTAAACCAACTTTTATTTGCATGTGAGTCATTGCAAGAAATATTTATGAGTTGCGCCACCTTCTTTGACTTGCAAATATTTCTTGCCACAAACCAATTATTTACCCGAATATCTGTGTTAAGTATTTCCTCAGTCGCAAAAATTAATAGATAGGTATGGAACTCATACTAACAAATCAGGAGTCAAGGATGTTGCAAATAATAGTTGGTTTACAATAGCCTGTTACATGAATTGGTGTATTAAAGTTTTAATTGGTATTTTTAGTCCAGTGAACCACCTGTTGGGGTCCTGGTTATAGAAAGGTGTACCGTGGAATTGGACCTGGCATCTGTTGACTTTGGCTTTCTGTTAGGTAATCTCTTCTATATGATACTGTGAATTATAGTGCTCTGTATTTTCAGCATTCACATTGAATACCAATTTTCTTTGTTTATGTGATTGAGCCAGAACACAAAATTAGGTGATCAAGAAACTACAAACCTTACTAATGATAGAAAAGGACAAAGAAGTTGTCAACAATATCACACATCAACAAATTCATATTTTTGCCAGAACCATAATTTTTTAAGTCATTGTTTTTAATGGGTTGATGTTTATTTTGTAGAGTTTTTTTTGGTAGTGTAAATGACTTTAATGAACATCTCTGATTTGTAGTTTATGAGGGAGAAGAGCATACTTATAAGTTCCAGGCAGCCTCAGAAGAAGAGAGGGATGATTGGATCCAAAAAATCCATACGGCAAGCTATGAGTGCCTGAAGATGCAGCTCCAGAGTCTACGAGAACAGATCCAGGCAAAAACGGGGAGGGACCCTATCACTCAACCCCCTCCCACAGAGTTTGGCATGGAGTTTGAAACCCAGTCAGGTAGTATATTAAATCATTATGATGATCACAAAGTTTTCATTCAGTGCCATTAATGGAGTGGAATATAGTTAAGATGATTATGATTATTATGAATTTTCTTCATTAACAGGCAATGCTAATGATGATCCTGCTCTGGAGATTTGCTTGTGTAAGTCTTCTTTGAATGAAATCGAAATCTTTATGATTAACAGAGCAGATGACTACAGAGATCAATGTTTACATTAACCTGAATGAATCTCCCTAGTATGTTAACCTGTACAGGTCTGCCCAATGGCATCTTTTTTTGTACTATTATACATTAGCCTGTATGAGTCTGCCCATTGATCTTTCATTTTTATATTACATGTATTATACTAAGCCTGTACAAATCTGCCCATTAATATCTTTTTTACATATATAAGCCTGTACGGATCTTCCCAATGACATTAGTGGACAGCCTCCAAATCCATTTATTGTGCTCAGTACAATTGTACCACCCCAACAGACTTGGATCCAGCACAGCAATACAGAGGTTGTAGAAGTAAGTATATGTACAGTAATCTTACCACACTTAATCTAAGATACCTTTGTTTATACATGCATCCTGTATTCCATATATTTTAAAATTGTTTACAATTATACATTATATTTGTGTCACGTAAATAATAGCAACACTTAGGGATAACTCTCTCCAGCATCTGCTGATCTGTTCATTTATGTCGACCTATATCTACACCCAGCATCTTTTGTTCTGTTAGTATGTTATTAGTTATGTAGACACTTTGAAGGGTTAAACTAAAATATATGGGGTCCTTGAAAAATGCATATTGGGTGAGGCTTAAGCCTATTATATGTAAGCCTATGTTTCTACCCATCATTATTATATGTTAGCCTATATTTCCACCCAGCATCCATGGTTCTTTTAGTATATGTCAGCCTATGTTACTGCCCAGCATCTGTTGTTCTGTTAGTATATGTTGGCCCATATCACTGCCCAGCATCTGTCTTTCTGTTTGTATATATGAATCGTAGGACATCACAATGAATTGATATTTTGCACTTGTATTTTTTGCCATAAGTTTAAAACAATCATATGATAACTGTTTGAGTGTTCTTTGGAACGCTCCAGTTTTATGATGAGGGTCTTATTTGTTTCACCAGGCCAATAACAACCCTCAATTTCTGAAGACAATTGGCTTTGGAGACAAGGATGGAGTGGATACAACGATGCGTGTGAAGATCACGGTGTATCATGTCAAAGAGAGGCTGACAGGCACTGTAAGTATCGGAAAATATCAGATTTATTGTCTGTTAATGGTCTGAAGATAGACTGATTTGTCAAAGAGAGATTGACAGTCCCTGTGACTTTCAGAATTATCTAAGTGAAGGTCATAGTGTGTCGTTTCAAAGAGAGGTTAACTTGCAATCAGATTACAAAAAATACCGAGTAACTCAAACCTGTTAAAGTCTGCACTGTTTTATGATTTAGTTTCAATACTTTTTTTAATCACTGTTTTTTGAGGTAAGTTATGAGACATATTTTTTTCTCTGAGTTGCACTGATAGGGCTGTATTTTATGTTTTGGATGTTTGTCAACTAAGTAAATATAAATAAATATTCTAGACTAGAGATAAAGACCCATGCCTGGTTAGCTCCAAGACATCTACATTTACATTTGGATGAAATAAAAAGAAATTGTGCCTTGACCAAGTTCACAACATTTATTGGCCACATTTATATTCTAACCATAAATGCTGGAATGAACCCTTAGACTTATCTGTTCTCTGGAATTTATGCTTCACTAAGGAGCATTAACAACAATTTACAATCAGTTGTGCCCAGTAAATCTATATTTCTGCTTCATATAACATAGAGTGAAGGCATGAAATAGAAATTAAAAGACTCCGTCATTAACTGAAGTCTGAGAATCAGGTATACAGTACTAAGGATTAATTCATCCAGGTTCTACCATTGATTTTATGCCCCCACCATAAAATGGCCGGGGGCATATAGTGTTACCGTTTCAACATTCTGTCATTCCTTCATCATTGACTTTTCATTCATTATCTTGGCAACAGTTGCACACATTCAACTCAAATTTGAAATATGAATATGTCATAGAAATATGCAGTCAAGTTCAAATTTGGTCATGGTCCGATGATTTTTGACAGAGTTATCCCTCTTGAACTTATGGAAAAATAAAAAAAATTTCAGCTTCTGCACTTCAACTTTTATAGGGATGTATGTATAAGGTTGAAATTGCATGTGCAGGTATTTTACCAGAAATACAGGTCAAGTTTGAATTTGGTCCTGGTCCGATGATTTTTGACAGTTATTCCCCTGAACTTGGAAAGGATTTAAAAATTTACAATTTTTAATCATTATCTTGACTGCAAATGTGCAATTTACAATTTGAAATTTTGGCTGCCTGCGGGGGCATTTGTGGCGTTACGACACATCTAGTCTTGAAATTTTTTTATCATATTCTTGTCCACTTATTCTTCAGTCACCATTTTTCTTTTAATTCATTGAATTTAGAATAAGTGAACATCTACACAGTTGAATTACTCAGATGGACTCTGAGAAGATATCAATTTTCCAGCAATGCTATTTCCAGGCAATCTATAGAAGAATATGCTTTTTTTTTACTCCCACTCCGAAGGAGAGGGGGTATACTGTTTTATCCTTGTGTGTCTGTCTGTCCGTAACAAATTTTTCGTCGCAGTTTTCTCAGCAACTACTCATCACAGATGCTTGAAATTTTAATACACTCTTTTTTTGAGGCATGCCATGTGGTGGGATTCATTTTTGTACAAATCCGATGTCAACTTCCTTTTTATCTGTGCATCTGTCCTTACCATACATAACAAATTTTCGTCACAGTTTTTTCAGCAACTACAGATGCTTGAAATTTTAACACACTCTTTGTTGAGGCATGCCATATGGTGGAATTCATTTCTGTATTAATCGGATTTCAACTTCCAGTTTATCTGTGTGTCTGTCCCTACCATAAATAAAAAATTTCACCACAGTTTTCTCAACAACTACTCATTGCAGATGCATGAAATTTTAGCACACTCTTTGTGTAGGCATGCCATATGGTGGGATTTATTTCTGTTTGAATCCGATGTAAACTTCCTTTTATCCCCATGTCTGTCTGTACAATATGTAACAAATTTTCATTGCAGTTTCCTCAACAACTACCGGTACTCATTGCAGATGCATGAAATTTTAGCACACTCTTTGTTGAGGAATGCAATATGATGGAATTCATTTTTGTACGAATCTGATGTCAACTTACTGTTTATCTCTGTGTCTGTCTGTAACTAAACTTGTGTACGTTCACATCAGAGTGTATATTCACATCGGAGTGGGGGTATTACTAGTGAGCATTAGCTCACAAACTTCACGTTATCTCTGTACTTATTATTCAATTCAGGATTGAGAAAACACAGACCTCCCATATGACTTAGATTTATTTTTTCATCTGAAATAAATGTCAAGAATTTCCCACTTTCATCATTATATTCATGAAGTTGTTAATGTGTTTATAGATGTCCCAGTTAGGCCATGCCATTTTCACTTTACAAGACGTTTTGATGAATGCAGATATGAAAACGACACTCAAGCTAGCGTAAGTAACATATTTATGATTGTATATAGGACTAAAACCATATTTACTCGGGATAGTCTGACACAGAAGTGTTTTCTGTTTTTCACGTTAAATTTTGGCCCAAGTGAAAATGATTTGAGATTTTCTTGTGCATACATTGATTAGCATGGACTTCTTACTTCCTGTATTATCAGAAATTCAGTCACATGTTCATAATGATAACACTTTTTTCATTATGACATTTTCACTATGGTGAAGATGATAAAAAAAAACAGCCTAAAATACAGTAAAACCATGGTTAAAGCAGACATAGTTTTAGCCAATTCACATTGACAGCAAAGTAATTTTCATTCCCTTTTTTTTGGAAAAGTATTATGAATTTATAGAACAAAGTAAGCTTAATTGAAGCAAATTTATTTGTCCCTTGCACTTCAGTGTAAGCATATTTTACTGAAGATTATTATCTGGTTTCTCCAATTTAACTCGGTTAAGATTTCGAGAGCATGCAAAAATGTGGAATTCAATACCCTAGTTTTAGTAATAAAATTTGAGAGTCAATATGTTTAATTCAGTGATTATGACATTTACATGGTATACTGAAATTTGCTCTAAATTTGAGGTTTAATTCTGAATTAAAATTCATTAAACATTTCACAACGAATCCCATGAGCACTTATTTCTATGTGAAAGCAAGTCAATTTATTTTGTATATACATATAAATAGGAACATTGTGTTATACGGCAAGTGGGAAATATAAAAACAAATACCAATCAACATACAGGACCATAGATTTCATAAAAGAGCAGTATAAGTCTAATAAATAAATGGGAATCTTTTTTATTTCCTTCTGGTCATGACTGTTAAACAAAGCTTCCTAACTGTTACATACAGTAGAAGTGTTAATATTTATTGATCTGTGATGATGCAGTAGTTGTGTGTGTACTGGGTGGTAATTCATTCTTAGTGTCTACAAACGTGACAGCCCGCTCTGATGGACTCAGACTCCACATGCAATATCTGCATCAAGAGAGTCACAAAAAAAGATCAAAATGATCTTACATTCGCATTATTCATTTGAAATAAGATTACCGACATGTTGAAATATACATGTTAATTCTCTTTATTGACGTTTGTTTTGTATTTTTGATTATTGTGGAAGAGTTGAAATAGGCCAAATATTCTCCTATAACTGTCTGAATTGATAGAAAAATGGGTTAATGAAATCTGTATTTGATTCACATCAGAAGTCAGAGTCTGTACTTTTAAAAACCTATTATTCACACCTCATACATTTTTTAATGCTGAATGTCTGGGTTACGTAATCAACAACAACTTAAAACAATGGAAATGACACATGGGTTATTTTAAGTGCGCAGTAAATGTACACAGTTGAAGTAATTTTTACTTTATTTAAACAAAGCAGGTTATGTAAATTTTTTCTGTAATAGCTGCAACGTTAATTCCCATACTAGCAACCAAAGAAAGCATTTTATTGTTTATATTTATGTCTGTACAAATAATCATCTGAAGTAGGATTAGGAAGGTTAAAGATTTCATGACGGAAGAGCAACTATTCAAAAAATCTATATAGAATGAAAACTGTCTAATCTGATACCTGTGCAATCCATTTCGCTGTGAATTCCAACCTTTAATTCTAAAACCTAAAACCTAAAATTCTCATTTTACTATTTTCCATGTTCTTGACACTCTGCATTCCGACACCCTGTCGATTCTGACACAAAATTTGTCTCCCAGAGCATGTCTTATTAGACAGATGTCACCGATTGATAATGGACCATGATTTCTCTTATGAAAAAAAGAAGATAATATTCAGTGCTTGTTTCATTGTTTAACACGAGTTTTCTAATGTATGGTTGCTGTAGTGTGACATGTACAGTTTATTTTTAGGTAGACTGAGTGAATCCAGTGACTATTGTCTAATTGGTGTTCCTGTCTGTCATTGTGCATCAACTGTTTTAAACATTCTGATGTTCTCTGAAATGATGGAATCAATTAATATCAACCATTTTGGTTTATGATTTATTGCATCTATGTGCAAAAACCATCAAAACTCATGCTTTTTTCAAAAATCTTGATGAAAAGCATTAAATTTATTTTGTTTTTTTAAATTTTGTGACAGAAGAACATTACAGGCTCACTGATAAAATGTAACAGAAGATGTGGTTGTGAACTTGAATTCAAGCTCATATCTATAAGAATGAAGGTCAATGTCACTACACATAAGATGTGACCATTTATCTGTTGCATATCAACTAGGGAAACAACTATACCAATGTTACATAATATACTGAACCCCACAATGTTTTGAACCTGGGTTCAAAATATGGTTGTGAAGTATTAAACCCCAACCCCACAAAATTTTGAACCTGGGTTCAAAATATGGTTGTGAAGTATTGAACCCCATATAAAATATTAAACCCAGGGTTCAGAAGATTATGGCCATAATATTTTGATTCCCCAGTAAAACATTCACTTTTAAAAGATAAGGGTTCAAAATATTATGACTGCAAAATGCTGAATCCTTTACAGTTTAATATTTTTGGTTGGGTGGGGTTCAAGAAATTTTTATTGAACACCCATAAGACTTTTTAAGTTTAAAGGGGGGGGGGGGGGGTTGAGATATGGCTGCAAAAATATTTAACACAAACCCATTTGACTTCTATACTTCATAGAAGGATGTTCAAGTTATGCCTACAAAAGATTAAACCCCAGTTAGATTTCTATAGTTCAGAAGAGGGAATTCAAGGTATCATGTCCCTGAACCCAAAAATAATTTTTAGAAGGGTTTCAGCATTTCAGAGTCATAATTGTATTTTGAACCCCTCTTTATTATTGAAGTTTAATTGGGGTTAAAATACTTCACAGCATTATTGTTGTGAATACCCTTCAACCAAGAAAATATAATTTTAGGGAGGGGGTTCAACATTTCATGTCTAATGAGGGTTCAGTCTTTCACTGCCATATCTTGACCTGCTCCCTCCCATCATCACCAGAAAATAAATTCATAGTGGAATCAATATTTTACAACTACACTATTTCGAACCTCTTCATTTTTTAAGTCTTTTGGGGGTTCAATATTTATATGCCATAATATCATGAAACCTCTTTCCCTTAAAAACAAAAAAGAGGGAGGATGGTTCATTATATTACAGCCAAGAAGTGAACCTGAGTTCAAAATATTATACAATATATTGAATCTGGGTTCAATATTTTGTGTCAACAAAAATATGGTTCACATGTCTATATAAATGACATAAAGATGGGTTGTGTTTAAAAGTCTGAGTGGAATATTAATAGTACTCAGTTTGTGCAAATCATGACCCCCGGGGGAAGGGTGGGGCCACAATGGGCAAAGTTTTACATAGGAATATATAGGAAAAAAATCTTTAAAAACCTTCTTCTAAGGAACAGCAAAGGCATGAAAAGTCATACTGATATGGAAGAATCATCAGGTAGTTTAGTTTCAAGTATATTCAAATTATGACCCCCAGGAGTAGCTTGGGGCCACAATAGGCAATCAAAATTTTACCTAGGAATATATACAAAAATATCTTTAAAAACATTTTACTCAGTAACTACTGGGCTAGAAGAGATGAAACTTACGTGAAAGCTTTAATTCTGTAATGTAGTTTTGAATTTGTTGAGAATATGACCCATGGGATAAGATGGGGCCACAATGGGTGATCAAAGTTCAACATAAGAATATATCAGGTAAAAATCTTTACAAGTCTTCTTCTCAAGAAGGCATGAATAGTCATATTGATATCTGGAAGCATCTTCAGGTAGTGTAGGTTCAAGTTTATTCAGATTGTGATCCCCACTGTAGAGTGGGGCCACATCAGGTGATTGAAATTTAAACATAGGAATATATAGGAAAAAATCTTCAAAAATCTCCTCAAGAATGACGAAGGCATGATAAGTCATATTAATATACCGGTAGAAGCATTGTCAGGTAGTGTAGATTCAATTTTTTTTCTTTCTCATATTATGATTCCTGGGGGTAGGGTAGGGCCACAATAGGCAACAAAAGTTTTACACAAGATTATAGTGAAAAAAATCTGCTGATGAAGAACAGAAGTCAAAAGTGACTCAGGTGAACATTGTGGCTCGTGGGCCTCTTGTTGAAACAAGCAAGTTCAGAGAATGTTGTTCCCCCATTTTTTGGTCTTAATTGTTGGGGTGCAATGATTTATGGCATATTAACTAAAACTGGCATGTATGTCCATTATGCTAAAAGAAGTTTTATATTTTTTAAGTAATATCGATGTTCTGATGTAAAAGTAAAGCCAGTATTAAAGTATCTGAAAGTCAAACTTCAAGGTCTAGGTCAAGACCTCAATTTTCATAGTACATTCAGAAAAGTCTTACAGATAATGCACATGTGAAGAAATATGAAAGCCCTATCTCTTCAGGTGCAAAAGCTACAACCAAAGTTAAATTTTTTGAAATTTCATGGTCAAGGTCATAAGGTAAAAATTCATAACATATTCTGAAAGTATGACCAAGGTTAAGTTATTTGAAAGGTAAGTCAAACTTCAAGATCAAGGTCATAAGCTCAAAAATCATAAATACTTAGAAAGGCCTTGTCACAGGTAAGCTACATGTGAAGCAAAAAAGCCCTAGCTTCTCTCATTCAAAAGATCTCACAAAGTTGAAGTTCTTAAAGATGTCAAATGTCAAGGTCAAGAGGTCAAATTCTGAAAGGTTTTGATGCAAATAATGTATGTGTGAAATATGAAAGCTCTATCTTTTCTCATTCAAATTTTGAAATTACGTCAAACTTCAAGTTCCAATTTACATATTACTACCGATTCTCTTCAGCCCAAAATTACCTTTAGCTGCTATTGTCTTATCTCATCTATCGGAACTCTGTGTGCACTGCAGCAACAGGAAATTTCCTGTCACATCACTCACATGTGTAATGACTAACAGAGTTTAAAAAACAAAGGGGAAAAAAAACCTTTTTTACAAACCATTTGTTGCAAAATACTATTTTAGTCACCTTTGAATTTCTTTTTGCCATTTTTGAAAAAAAAAAAATAGCCTTTGGAGAAAATGGGGAATTGAGCACTGCATACATGCATGCACAATTTATAAAAACATACTAAGAATTCAATGGTTTTTATTTTATTTTTAGCAATGATGTAAATTCATAAAATTTAGAGGCATGAAAATTTATGTATAGCAATTTTACCCAAATCTGCAAAAAGAAATCAATGTAAAAATTTTCAGATTTACTGTCAGAGGTTAAAATGTCAGAATTATATCAGCATTGATAATTTTGGAAAGGTTAAGTTCATGGAAAACTAATTTAAGATAAGATAAAATCTAAATATGCAAAACTTTTTAATTTAGGAACTTTAGAAGCTTCACATACTGGATATTATTCAGACATTTTTTGTAAATCAGGTGCTTAAATGTAGGAATCAAATGTGTAATTGATATTCAGACTCATTTATCTTTGTTATCATTGTTTTTCACAATGTCTTATCCCATATTCTATAATAAGGACATCCTGTATAGGTCATGACATCAGATTACAAGATGAAGAACAGGATATCCTCTGATGTATTCACAAGATGCGTAGGGGTCAGAACATGTATATTATCATACACTCTTACTTGTCAGAACTTATAAACAATTGATCATATTGAAAAAATACATTGGAATCTTATTGTATTTGAGAAACATAAGTGTTATTTCAGAGATTTCCATTATAATATGTGGTATGTAGTAATTCTTTTTCTTCCAAGTTTAACATTTATTTATTGCTTTGGAATATTTAAGGTATATATAAATGCATATGCATAAGGAGTGTTTGTTTTATTAGACTATGAATGTTATGTATTCATATCTAAAACAAGACATGTTTGTGCAACATAAATGCCACAAGTACAGTTATGTAACATGGACATCCATATGAGTCTTACAATATACCGGTACTGTGGACAAGATTATTTTCATCCTATGTCATTCTTTCCCTTTCATACTTGAAAATAGTCTTTGAATTTGCCCTGTTTTAAATTCACCCTTCTTGCAAAGAGGGCAGTAGGGGCAAAAAATTAACAGGGGGTGAACATTTCCCTGTATACAGAGGCCGCTCTTGTAAACCTAATTCATTGAAAAACTACCAGACAGAAGCAAATGAACAGAACTGATAAACTAATAATTATTGTATATGTACTTGTTATTGAGGACTTCCCATGTTTTATTTAGTAGAGTATGTATGTAGGGACAGGTGTTAAAGCTCAAAATAAGGACAAGAGAGAAAGAGAGAAGAATGTATAATTTAGGAATGCATCTATATGAATGAATTTAAATGCATGCATTGATAGGTAGTTATGACACAGTCACAATGAATAATAGATATGAACCTGAGTTCAAGATTTAAATGTCCAGTTAGATTTATTCTTTTGCTAAAGATAAGCTGAAGAATAAAGTGGCCTTTACTGGTTCATAACATGTCGGGCCATTTGTCTTGGGACATAATACTATATGCTTGTCAACTACAGTGTGTATGGTGAATACCATGATGTTTTTTGAGTACTGACTGAATTAATGCCTTGAACAAAGACACAATAAACTATATTTCTTTGTATATATAACACAGTGAAAGTGATTTCCTACTTGCCATGGGAATCCCTGTGTCCTCTAAACGGTAAAGTTGTACATACTTTTTTGCACTTTTCTAGCTTTGTGGTGGGTTTTTGGTTTGGGATTATTTCAGCTATAGATAATTGGTTGATTCCTGCTGATTCTTAGTTACCCAGTGTCTCTCCTGTTTTAGGTCTCTAACTCACACTCGGTATCTTGCAGTCTTTCCAACATTCCATTACTTCACACAAAATGTCTCTAGCTACAACTAAGTTGTAAGACTAACAACCAACAATGAGTTTTCACATTTTTTTTATTATGTAAACACATGAATTCATATACAAATAAAGCTTCTGAGATTGATCTTCTTCAGGATTGTACCCTAGTGTCAATTAAAATCTGGAGATTTTAGATAAAAGTGGCTTCAAACATTTTCAGCGTTTGCTGTGGAGTCTTACCTATAATGTTGAAGATTTAGTGCTTGCTAATGGACCTTTGCTATTTATTATAGAAGTGTGTTATTTTGCCCCTCGGCTTTAGAAATGCTATGACTGTAGATTAAGGAAAATGTTACAAAGTAAAATAGACTGCTGTTTAGTCAAAAGCATGCCTTTAAAAACAATGTCTGTGGCTAAGTTCAGTAGTTTTTCGATCTTACTTTCTATCTGACTGAATAACCCAGTGCAAGAGAGATCCATTAGTACATCTAAACTCAGTGCTGCATTAATTTTCTATTCCCCCATTCTGATAGTTTATGATGGATATAAAATTTATAGCTATTACCATGATTGAAATCGTAAAATGATTCTATGATAGCAATTTATATTTTTTATGCGGGGAAACAATTTCTCTTTATGTCCAACTATTTTACACATCATTTACATTTTAATCCAGATGATTAGTTTTGGGTGTTTGTATGTAATTGATCTGCTTTATTTTAAGGAAACAATCTGAAATATTTTTTTTTAAAAGGTACTTTAATTATCTACTTAAGTACTTGTTGATTTCATCTCTCCAAGTTATAAAGCTAGTAGCTATATTGAAGAATATTAATTGATACATATTTAATTAAAAAGAGGATTCAAATACCAGTAAGTTATCCTACTAGATATGACATTGTATCATTTACAAAATATTTTTACCATTTCAAATGGGTTTTAATGGATACTTTTCAAAGGAAGTTGATATTTGTGTTTTCCGGCTAGGGAGATAAGATTTATTTTTTCCTTATTTTGCATGTTTATTGAAAAGAAAATATGATTTTCTATTGTTTATATATCGTGTTACTATACTTGCTTATTTATTTTCAGAGGTCCTGACCAACTAGGTTGTGGGACTGTGACTATCATGGCTTGGGTTAATGACACAAATCTCTCCTTATCTCAAGTAAGTATAGGGGTACTTAATAGTCTGTACAAGGGATGTTTAGTAAAATCATGGACGAGTTGTCTAGAGTGAAATTTTACCACCGTTTAGTACATTATTTAGTACATATCTTGAAATACATAGCAAATTTCAAATAGATAATTATTTAAGACTGGATATTGGCGAGAGATTTCATTTGCAGCAATCTTTTTAACTGTATTTCGATATGTATTTCAATATTTTCAACGAAAATTAAAATGGTATTTTCTTATTATATTAACTTCCATTTATATGCAGAATGTACATAACTATGATAAACAATCCCCCCAAAAAGTTCTTGTTGATTGAATTACATTTATGCAGTGAAATACAACCATAAAGCTTTTGCCTTACTGTTTGGAACAGTCACATACATTTCAGACAACTTCTGCTTAATAATTTATCACAGAAATCCTGAGTCCAAGCATTTTGCCGGTATATCAGTACATGTACTACAAAAACGTATTGCTATACAATATATTTTGTCACTGTACCTCAATTTACTGGAATATCGATGTTGTTGCCCATGCCTAAGAATTATGCTCAGAAAGACAAAATACGATATTTTATAAAATTTTTGGAGGTCCGTGTTTGCTCTGCTCCTATTTTGTTATGTTTAATGAACTTTTGAGCTTGAATACTGTTCATTATCTCCACATATTTCATGTAATATGTGGTACAACCTTACAGTAGAAGGATGATAAAGTGTCGCCTATTGCAACATCATGCTTCATTTGTTTTGATTTGATTTGAACATGTATATTTTATTATGTTTTGATAATTTGCTATGAAGAAAAGTTGGATCAAACTACACCGATCCTAGATTTTCACTCTGAAAGCAGGAAAGGGACCCATCTCTCACACACATTGGACTTTTTGAAGTTTTGCAGCAGTGTTTTATTAACAGTATACTCTTGAAACATTAAATTCAATCTTGCAAATAGGTTTTTGAAGATCTGCATTGATAACATCTTTCACTATTTGTTCTTATATTTTTGTCAAATACAAGACTCTTTACCAAAATTTTCTCTTAAAAATCCCCCTGCCATTTTTATATGAAAGATTTAGTGATATTCTGATTTCATTCTGTTTTCTATAATCATTTAAAAGTCTGTACAGGCATCATTCCTAAGTCTACATACAATTTAAATGTTCTCCCATGTGCCATAACGTCAACAAATGTTGCCATTTTTCAAACAAGGGAAGCTGTTTGAAAATGGCTTGAAATTGATCTGAAATCACTTCTTATAACTGGATGATGGGTTGAAACTCTGAAGCATTTATCACATCTAGGTAAAGTGCAACATAGGATTGATTAGCTGCACTTCAATTTCTAACCATAGGCCTCTTGATATAGAAAATCAAACCAGAAACCTCTTATTGCCTCTATGAAAGTGTAGTTCAGATAGAAAACAAACAATAATGACAATCATAAAAGTATGACATATGTGTATGACATTTAATTAAGTTTTTGTCATGCTGTTTCCTGCCTAAGTCGTGATGACCAAGGGCAGCAACTGACTGCTGACATTTCAAATCACTGAATGAGCTTATAGCTAGGAAAATCAATTAACTCGTTATTAACTGAACAAGATCTTATTCTCTGACATTTTGAACAGCAGTGAAACTGTTCAAAATTTAATAATTTAGACCACTTGGGAATTTTGAATTCCCTACATAAAAATCCCCTTCTGGGCCTTACTTTTAAGGACTGGAGAGGTACTTGGATATTAATCTATACTTAATCTATAGGTTTGTCTGTTTGTCCATCCATAATTTTCCTATTTTTGCTTACTGTATTTTTTTACCCTGATTATCTTATACTATTCAAATTTAGTATCCAATTTTAGAAGATAGTAAAACATGTTTATGTACAGTCAAACCTCGTTATCTTGAACTCAATAGGATCATGAAAAAACTTCGAGATATCCAAGGATTCGAGATATCCAGGGTAAAATACTTACAGAATAAGGAGGTAGGACTTCCAAATCACTTCGACATATCCATGGTATTCAAGATATCAGTGTTTGTCTGTATTTTTAATTTGTATGTCACCTGGTTGGAATCATGGGAAAAGAGAGATAACTCTTGAATTTTTTTCCTGATATGACTAACTATTTTAACTGCTGCAGAAGTTCCAAAGTCTAATCCTCATCCTTCACATAAAAATTGATACTTTATAACTTATTATCCTGATTACCTTGTGGTTATCTAACATACTGCCACTCTTTTGTGATAAAGTCAGCTAGGAAAGCTCTAAATCTCATGTCTTTTTGGGGGCATAACGCGTTGTTTACAATAGTGACAGATGAATGATTTGAACAATGAGTATGCCCAAAGTGTAATATATATTGCCAATGGTTGCACTTCAGAAAGTAAGTCATCTTATTCAGAATGTTTAGACTTCCAAAAGTCACTAACCATTTATCAGAAAGAAATGATTGAATTTATTATTAGAAGAGTCGGCTCAGCAGAAAATATCTACAAAAATTTAACATAAAAGAACTAGTATCTCTTTAATTCTATCAGTGTGATGCACTGAACATTTAGCAAGATATTTTACCAGGACTTCCTTCCAGTATGTCCTTTAAAGATGTACTGTGATCGATCTTGTAGTGACGTATTCAACAGCACATTGCCCACAGCTAATCGAGTTTTCCTACCTCTACTGTGAATTATGTAATCATGATATCAAGCATTACCAACCTAAGTAGCCCAGTTTGTTGTGAAGTTTTGAATGCTTAGCTGACATTTGCATTCACTAAATTCTGGCTTATTATTGAATGATTATGAATGATTCAAACTGCTTGAAGAACATGAAAGTAAAAATCAAGAGTTTCACCAGAACTTCGTTTTTTACATGTCCTTTAAAAATCTACTGTAATTGATCTTGTAGTGTATTTAACATCACATTGCCCACAGCTAATTGATGTTTCCAACCACTGCAAAAGAGTTGCATTAAGTTATGTAATCATGATACCAAGAATTACCAAGTTTGTTTTGAAGTTCAGAATGCTTAGCTAGCATATGCATTCACTAAATGCTGGCTAATATTACTGGGTAAATGGCAAAAGATTCAAACTGCTTGAAGTACACATGAAATTGAAAAATCAAGAGTTTATTGAAAAGTATATATGTGAAATTTAAAATGTGAAGTTTTTATTACTGCCAAATGTAATACAAATTCAAATTTTATACATTTGTATTTAGTATATTAAGTAGTATTTAATATTAAGTAGTATTTAATATAAGTAGTTAGATACATGTAATAACAAAACATTTGTATTGCAAATAGTTGGATGATAACATGCAGGAAATATTCTGATATTTACTTGATATCTGTAAATCTGATTTTTTATATATATATATATATATATTTTATATATATATATATATATATATATATATATATATATATATATATATATATATATATATATATATATATATATATATATATATATATATTGTTTATCATACTAACATCCCCTCAGCCACTCTTATGTTCATCACTAAGCAGGACACTTGCTTACATTTACCTTGTCAAAATAATAGCTATTTATTTATTTACAGTCAGAGTCAGACACAAATCCAAAAAAACCTGCCATTGTACGGCGTCGCTCAAAACGGGTCGACTCTCTCCGTCCACATTACAAGAACATCATCACTCGTACATTCCGATTTGACACAACCATAGGTGATGTCAAACTCCTGGTGCATGAATACATGGGAGAAAGCATGTTTGCCTTTGACATCCCAATACAACTTCTGTAAGTAGATCTGGATTCATCAAATTTTCATTACTACTGAAGAAATCTTAAAATCTGTGTCGGTAAATAAGTTCTTTATTTATTTACAAAATAAAATACTTAAGGAATAGGGCACAGGGACTTAAAAAATGACTTCAACATATCCATGGTATTCAAGATATTGGAGTTCAAGATACCAAAGTTCAACTGTATTTCAATTATATTTCAATCTCAATTTTTAAACCAGGTATTTCAATTATAAGAAACCATTATTTTTTGACAGGAAATTATGGATTGAGGAAGAGAACCATGTTTTGTCCCAGCTTCAGGATATAGGTCAGGTGTGTATACTCTATATACCACATGCAGCTAGAAAGATTGTGCAGGCAGATTGTGTCAAAAATATTTTCTCTATGAGCAACAATTAAAATATTTATCATAAAGTTACATGATATATGAAAATTTGACATATGCTAGTTGAACTTTACGCTTGCACCAGAAACATGCACCGTTATGGGTTATAGTAATAACTAAAGGTAGTATCGGTACTTAGGAAGGACAACCCCAAACCCAAGTGGTAAATGTACTGGTCAAAAATTACATTATATGAATTAGATTGAATTATGTAGGTTATATATTTCTCTCACTAAATCATAACAGTGATTACTGAATGTGAAAATCAGACAGAAGTGCTTGAAGTATCAATTAAATAGTGTCAAAAACTATGATGATATCACAATTATATGTCCTACCAGCATTTTGGGTAATGATTGGTCAATGACGTGTGAGGTAAGATGATGTTATCATCATAAGTTTTTGTGATCAGACGTACTAGAAATATACATGTACGTGATGAAATCTTTGGCCTCTTTACCTTATATGAAGAGTAGTTGTTTAACCAGCAAGGTTACATTAGATTCAAATGTCATACAAGTTGAGCTTTAATATAATAGCTACCTATCACCAAAGGTGATAGCATGACATTGTTATCACATTGGGTACATGTTTCCTGATTCTAATGATATAGGCTATTCATTGTAGCTTCCACAGGAATATGAGAGTGAGCAGATCTCTATGATAACTGTATCAGCTGCCATTGTCTCCAAGTACACTGACTCGCTCAACAGACTGAGCAGTTACCAAGGTGCCCCTTGAATAACCTTGTAGTCTAACCTCCTCTGAGTATAACTTCCTCAATTGTTCCCTCTCCTTAACATATTACTTCCCGAGGAATGTTAACTTCACATTAATCATTACTAGAACTGGCGAATGGTTGTGACCTAAAGTTTAATGCTCTGTAACCATCTTTAGTGTATTACATAACCAGAATGTCTCTTTGCTAGAAGTTATATCAGTATTACAATATTTGTCATTAATATTAGTTGGCTTGTTGGTAGCATTGAACATTATGGGATGGCATATTGTGGTTTGTTAACATAGTTCATACTAGTATTTGAGGCAGGTTAACTGACAGGAGGTTTATATATAATCTCTCAGGTTAGCTTTCTTCCCCCAGGTTAGCTATGTGCCAGTTTGAATGGACCCAAAGGTTTTGAGAGAAAAAATTGTTGCAAAAAACAAAATTTACACCATTTGAGGAAAGTTATTCCACTACAGTTGTTCCAACAATATTTTTAAAAAATTGTATAGATAGAAAGTATAGTTATTATAAATAATCTTATGTATTGCACATTTTAGAAATGTAGAATTAAATTGGACCTGTAAAATTCTTGTGATTTCTAGTTGTGTACAGTTTATTATCTGTTGTGTGTATAGATGTTTGGCCACACCCGATTACGAGCCTTGCAAGACAGATTGGACTATTGTATGAGCATGATAACATTGTATCAACAGCATCTCACATGCCTTAAATCCAAAGGTGACAGTCTTTCTCTGCTAACCTATTAACTTAATCAATGTAGCCTAGCTAATCAATGATATTTAGCTGGTATCCTTCATACAGTATGACATTTATCAATATTTAACAGAGTATTATTTGAAGTGAAATGGAAACCTTCCTTATAGTCTGTATTCTGTAAAATGGAAGTAACTTGTAATGAAGAACATCTTAGACTAGTATTTTTGAAGTTAGTTCAAAGTAAAAAAAAAATATACTTTTTTTTTTCTAAAAATAGGCTGTCTCCAAAATATTTACCATTTAATAATTCTTTATGTTGAAAAAAAAATCACTTATTATCTTCAACAAAAGATGTAGAGGTCGAGATGAGTTATGTTTTCCAATACCTCCAACTTTGATGTCAGCCTCCCAATTTTTAAAAGTTTTAGGTCTGGAGCAACTCCATTGCTAAGTACATATAACTACAAGTCCTATAGTCACAAACTAACAATGATGATGCATCTAGGGATGTATACCACTAGACTTGCTTCAGATGCTGGATATGATCCACATTTTTCAGATGAGACCAGGTTAAAGTTTTGGGGCAGGTCAATTCTCAAGTAACTATGAGGCCTGTTATGACTGAATTTGCATGAGTGATGAGTGACCAGATTAAAGATTTTGGAGCTGGTCTGTTCCCAATTAACTATAAGTCCAAACCTGAATCAAGCTTGAATGAGTTGCACACACCACCAGGCTTGCTTCTGATCTGTATCAGATCTATATATTCTGGATGAGTGACCAGTTTAAAGTTTTTGGAGCAGATCCATGCCCAAGTAACTATAAGCCATAAGTTACTTAACTTGCATGGATCAAGCCTAGTGGGGTTCGCCTAGGGATGCACACTACCAGAACATTTGTTTGATATGAGGCAGTTTGCTTTAACCCATACATTAATTTTTATTATGTCTGTTATACCCTATATAACCAAATTAAGGGAATATTAAAAAAAGTTTTCAGTTTGAATTTGTATATCATAATTAATTTTTAATATGAAAAATGTGAAATTATTCCTATGCTTACAATAATACAATTTAAATAGAATTACAATTTTATAATATGTAACTTGTAAACACGAATACTCGAAAAAAAATTTTTTTTTATCTTTTTACAGTTAAAGAAAAATGCTAGGATTTATATCAAGTATTCTTTACTAGAATAAAGTTAAGTCATTCTTAAAGATTGAAATGTATACATTTTATATACTAGGACCATGCTTTAAAGCTAGCACTATGAAAGGCGATAAAGACCTGGAGTTCATTCCCTTGAATCTCCATCTTCAAAGAATGACAGTGATCAATGAAGAAAAGAATACCAGTAAGATTTTTTTTCATTTTCCAAAACTCACCCATTATTATTTAATGTGTACTTTAAAATTTGTCATTTTTAGCTCTACTGGTCAGAGACCAGCAGAGCTTATGCCATAGTAAGGTGTCCATCGTTCATCCGTCTGTCTGTCCGTCCGTCTGTAAACAATTTTTCAAAACGCTACTCCTCCTACAGTTTTGATCCAATTTCAATAAAACTTGGCATATAAGTAGACTACACTAAGATACATAATTCTGCGTTTCAGTTTTTATTTTTGATCAACAGTGTTGCCATGGTTACTAAAAATAGAAATTTCTCTGCAATACTTTCAAAATGCTACTCTTCCTACAGTTTTGGTCTGATTTAAGTATAACTTCGCACACAAGTAGACTACACTAAGATACATAATTCTGTTCATCATTTTTTTTCTATTTTGATGAATGGTGTTGCCATGGTTACTAAAAATAGAAATTTCCTTGAGATACTTTCAAAATGCTACTCCACCTACAGTTTTGATCTGATTTCAGTATAACTTGGCACACAAATAGACTACACTAAGGTTCATAATTCTATTTATTGGTTTTTGATTTCGATGAATGGTGTTTGCCATGGTTACTAAAAATAGAAATTTCTGTAAAATTCTTTCAAAATGCTACTCTTCCTACAGTTTTGGTCTAATTTCAGTTTAACTTGGCACACAAGTAGACTACGCTAAGATACATAATTGTCTTTATTGCTTTTTGATTTTGTTGAATGATGTTGCCATGGTTACTAAAATCAAAATTTCTATAAAATTCTTTCAAAAGGCTACTCCTCCTACAGTGTTAGTATGATTGCAATAAATCTTGCCACAAAAAGTGACTAAACCAAGGATCATTATTCTATTTATTGCTGTTGCAAAGTTTCAAGTCCAAGCGCTACTTTTATCTTCCTTCGTTATAAGTACAAACCAGTAGAGCTACAGTCTCATCAGAGACTTCTGGTTATGTTTACTTTGTAGGGATGGCAAACGAATACAGAATTGCTAATTGGTTAACTGCAAGATGTTCAGACCGATTAATCATATCAAAAATGCACATTTACTTGTCTTTTTGAATAGCTACATTCTGTTTATCTTGATCAGAAAACTTCATATATATTCTTTTTTTATTTCAATAGACAAGGAAAATTGATAATTTTCCAGAGCAGATGTCACATAAGTTCATTACATGTAAGCATTGTCACCATAATCGGAACCAAGTCTGAACTATATCACTTAATTTACAGTGTTTGTTTAATAAATATAATTTGTAGGTAACTGCAAAAGATACATGTACTGATTAACAGTTCTCAAATGCTCAACAGTGATTAAATTAATGAATTTAAAGAAAATTGTGTTCAAATTTACATTTATTACATTTTCAATAGTGAAATACTGTGATTTATTTATTGAATAAAAGTGATACACTGTATTCTGTTACAGTGTGAAAGGATATCAAAGTAAGTAAAAATGATTTTTGGTCTCTCATAAGACAGATAGTTACTAAACCATCTTGATACAGACTAAAACTGTAAATTTGTAAGAAACATAAAATTCAATGTTTTTTAGTTGGATATGGAATTTATTTCACTCATGAGACAGGATTTTTTATATTTTCATGAGTGCGAAGCATGAGTGAAAAATATTAAAAAAAAAAAATCCTGTCTCACGAGTGAAATAAATTCCATATCCAATTACAAAACATTGAATATCCTTTATATAAATTTTTTTGACTTACAGATTTTCTAACTGATTACCATCATTCTAAACCAAGGAATCAGTTGACCAGTTACGAATTGCCATCCCTAGTACTTTGTCATTATTTTATGTGTACTCTTATTTCATTCGTACTCTCATTGTTTCATGTATAGCTCATCATAAAAATAATGAATGTTACAGACTGAATTACTTACTGGATTTTTCAGTAAAAATGTACTTCTAAGAAAATTGTAAAATATTTTCTGCTTTTCACAAACAGCTGGTTGGTATGATGTCATCACCGTTGGGGCTTTCACGGCTTATGCCCAGAAATATAAACATGGAGGTCTAAGTCGTCTGCTAGCTCAGCTACAGGAGTCCCACTCCACAGAGAACAACACAGTGACAAATCTCTCTGTGGCTTGTGATCTAGTGAACCATATATACGACCTCAAAATGAGCATATCTAAAGACTGTGATTGTTTGTGTAAAGTGGCGGTGAATGGAACGGCAGAGGATCTGACAACAGTGGCAGATTCTCTACAGAGAAAGGTAGCCATTGCAATCTAAAGTCACAGGACTTTAATCCATTTATCTCTCACTGAGATTAGCTTTTGCTAGTTATGTGAAGATTGAGAAATAGCTTAAGTTTGTTGCTCAAACGAATTCATCAATAATACATCTTGAAAGAAGAGAAAACTTTAGACTAAAAGTTGTGGAAGAAAACCATTGTATTGATGTTTTAAATGACAAAATTCTCGTATGAAAGCAGCCACTAAAGAAAGCTGGTATACAGTATGTTATTGTCACAAGACAAAATATTTAATATAAATGTATTAGTGGTGTCGTATTGTATGAAGGTGGTGAATGCAATATTCTAGTTTATTTTTTGATGATTCAGTATTGATTCTTATCAACCTTCATTAAAGAAGCAAGTCAAAAATTTTTATTCCAAAATATAATTCACCAAAATTACAGATTAGAAAACTGGTAGAGAAATGTGAGACGCCATTAGTTCAGAACACGGCAGATGAATACAACAGAATTAAAATGGAGATGTCCCAGGATTCCGAACAGTCTAATTCAGGGGGCACAACTAAGGACAGTATGTCTAATGGGGGCATCAAGCCAGGCAACAACTGGAAGTGGTCAGGAACAGACTTTGTCAAGAGCGCCACTGCAGAACCCTGGGTAATTTTTAACTTAAATACTGGCTGTAATATTTTGTTTTGCAAAACTTGTCTTGTAAAATCAGACAACTATAGGTAAGACACTGCAGTCAAAATTTGCTACCTGGAACTCCATGTGATGGAGACACTGCTAGTACTTCAAGGGTTTGCAATATTGATGAGGTTAAAATGCAGAAAAATCTGTTGGGACTTTCAACTCACTTAGACATATCCAGGGTAAATGAGAAATTGAGGTTCAAGATAATGAAGTTCAACTGTATTTTCTAATTTAAAAAATTTTACTCAAATCATAAGATTTGTTATATGTCATACATGTTCAAGAATTATGGAATACATGAACAAATTGATTTGAAATGAAACTGCATACTGGGAGGTTTTCCCCCAACCTCACCCCCATTTACGTTTCACTTTTGTCTAGAATTCACACATAACATACGTAACTGTTTATTAATAGGAGTATTAATTTTCAGTGTAGTTTTTCAATGTAGGCACTTGGATGAAATGAGGAATTATGTGATGAGTACTGTTGAATATTTATAGAATTAGTACTGATGTATATGAATAGAATCAGTACTGTTGTATATTTATAGACAGGAGTACTGTGGTTTGTAATACTTTGATTTCACCTCAGGAAATGACCCGACTGAACACCGAGGCCGCTGCTATGTGTTTGATCTCAATAATTGATGACCTTGTGCTCAATCAGAGTGAGTCTGTAGACAGGACCAAATGGCTGGATGAAATCAGTCCTGCTGTTATCAAGCTCAAGAGCTTCTTGGAAATTGTCTACCAGAAAATTCTCTTAATTGTTATGTTCCTACACATACAGGTATCATTTTTGTTTGTTTTTAGCTCTACTGGTCAGAGACCAGAAGAGCTTATGTGATAGTAAGGTGTCCGTCGGCCGGCCGTCTGTCTGTCTAGCTCAAAACGCTACTCCTCCTACAGTTTTAGTCTGATTTCAATATAACTTGACACACAAGTAGACTACACTAAGATACATAATTCTGAATATCGGTTTTTGATTTCGATAAACTGTGTTGCCATGGTTACTAAAAATAGAGATTTCTAGGAAGTGCTTTCAATTTTTTGATTTCTATGAAAGGTGTAGCCATGGCTACTAAAAATAGAAATTTCCTTGAAATACTTTCAAAACGCTACTCCTCTTACAGTTTTGATCTGATTTCATTATAACTTGGCACACAAGTAGACTAAATTATGATACATAATTCTATAAATCGATTTTGATTTCGATGAACGATGTTGCCATGGTTACTAAAAATAGAAATTTCTGTGAAACTCTTTTAAAACCCTACTCCTCCTACAGTTTTGGTCTGATTTTAGCATAACTTGGCACACAAGTAGACTATACTAAGATAGATAATTCTGTCTATCAGTTTTTGATTTCGATGAACGGTGTTGCCATTGTTACTAAAAATAGAAATTTCCTTGAAATACTTTCAAAATGCTACTCCTCCTACAGTTTTGATCTGATTTCAGTATAACTTGGTACACAAGTGGACTACACTAAGATTCAAAATTGCCTTTATTGTTTTTTGATTTTGTTGAATGGTGTTGTCATGATTACTAAAATTGAAATTTCTGTAAAATTCTTTCAAAAGGCTACTTCTCCTACAGATTTAGTCTGATTGCAGTAAATCTTAATAATACAAAAATTTCAATAAAACAAAAAGAGACTACTCCAAGGATTATTATTCTATGTATTGCTGTTGCAAAGTTTCAAGTCCAAGTGCTACTTTTAAGTACAAACCAGTAGAGCTACAGTCTCGTCAGAGACTTCTGGTTGTTTTTAAAGTAAAATTGTTTCATGCACAGTGCACAATCTTATGAATTTTTTTACTCATCTTTTTTGAGTATGTCTGTTCTCTGCTCATAAATAACAATGCTTTTAAAATGCTTTTAAACTTTTCAGGAAAACCGTGGAAATTCCAGGTTGATGCACATTGTGAGATATCGGAGGGATGTGTGCTTTTCTCATGCTGTATGTATTTTATATTTTAGCTTTTACTGTACCAATTTTTTGCAGAAAATGAGACAACACTGCAGAGGAAAATCAGCACATGATATTAAGTTAGCACTGGTTTTTATTTGTAGTTGACAACACTTGTCAGTGGCTTTGTTACTAAGGTAACCACTTGTATCTCCAATGAGGACTTTCTGAGACAGATACAGGAAGTAGGAGTGTTTTGTCAGTTTGAAGGATTACTCAGTTGCTATGGAGATGAGATGGGGATGATAGAGGACTTCTGTGTGGCAGTAGATGATTTGAAGTTCGTCACTTTCCAGTTTGTCAAATCTGATGACCCTAGTGCTTCACCCACAGTCTTTCAGGATGGGTAAATTATTCTTGACATTTCTCCAAAATTACATACAAAAAGAAGTTTTTGTTACAAAGGATTGGCACAGCATAGAAAACTCCATGAAACTTATTATAATATCCCAAGAGTTGTCCATAACAATTCAAATAGCTCTTGATGAAGAGTTATGTTTTGAAACAGTGGTTATATTTTTCAAATGTCATTTTTTCCTTCCACCCCCATCAGAGGTATATTCTTCAAATTCTCTGGTCATCAAGAGGATAAACACCAAATATAAAAAATCTCTATAACAAGAAAGATATTGTTAAATCACTTATTTTCACGGAGTCAATTTTTTGTGGTAAGACAAAAATATATTGGTTCTTGGGGATTAGATTTCGTGGTTGAAGAATTTTTAAGCTGTTATATACTAGTATTTTAAATTTTTACATTTTGTGGAGGACATGAATTTACGCGTGTCTTTTCATACCAAGAAAACAATGAGAATTAACCAAAATGAAAATTAGTGTTTTCACAGTACCTCATTTCAAGCAATTTTTTGCACAATGTTGTGTTCAGAAATTATAGATGCAGATCAAGCTCGTCCCGTCACCATTTCTACATACTCTAAACATGGCTATACTGTAGGGTTCAAATTTGAAAATTTCTTATCTTTAGAAATTAGGTCAGTAGAAATTTTGAAGGTCGATTTTTATTTTATATAAACATTGCTCCATAATAAGAATGAGATCAGTGTCTCCACTTTGTTAAAGTTTCCACCTTAAAAGTAATAAATCCACTGGTAACAACATCATTTGCACTTTGCATTGATACATACTGTAGAAGCACAAAATTTCGTGGGGAAAAAATTTTGTTGATTTGTCATCTAAAAGGCTTCGTGGGCATTAAATTTTGTTGTTTTGAAAGTAACTCTATTCAATATATACATGAAGGCATAAGAAATTTCATATGGGATTTATGATAATTGTTAAAAAAGAAATAAACTACATTTAACCCCCAACAAATATTTCTGCTTTAACAGTATCAAAAATATCAGAAACAAACTTGAAAGATATAATAAATATTGACCACTTTAAAATATATGCCTTTTTCAGCCATTTCAAGAGTGGTGCTTATGGAGATTTTCATAGGTAATGCTTAAATTTATAAAATTTTATTTTGATAAAAAATTTTGTGAGAATTTCTGAAATAAGCTCAGTATCACCATTAATTTTTATTAAATGCCCCCAAGACTTTTTCCTTCATAATTTAAAATTTTGGCTGAAATTTAATTCCACTAATTTTTACTTCATAGATTCAGCATTTTTGATAAATTGTAGTAACAAAGCAATCAAAATATTTAAAGAATCTAAAAAAAAAATGGTGTATACTGATGGAAGATGTATCCCCCTCTGAATTGTAAACTTTGATTTCCAGACACTGTGTCAGTGTTAACATTCCTCTACAAGACGAGATGTTTGACAAACTGCCAGTTGAGTTACAGAGAGGAGAGAAGGTGTCTGTCACTCCTGTTGTCTTCAACATTGGTATTAATGAGCAGGCCTCATTAGCAGACAAGTAAGAACTCAGAAACTCAATATCACATCAATGAGCAGGCCTCATTAACAGACAAGTAAGAACTCAGAAACTCAATATCACATCAATGAGCAGGCCTCATTAACTGACAAGTAAGAACTCAGAAACTCAATATCACATCAATGAGCAGGCCTCATTAGCAGACAAGTAAGAACTCAGAAACTCAATATCACATCAATGAGCAGGCCTCATTAACAGACAAGTAAGAACTCAGAAACTCAATATCACATCAATGAGCAGGCCTCATTAGCAGACAAGTAAGAACTCAGAAATTCAATATCACATCAATGAGCAGGCCTCATTAACAGACAAGTAAGAACTCAGAAACTCAATATCACATCAATGAGCAGGCCTCACAATCAAACACATGAACTCAGACACTCTGTTATATCAATGAGCAGGTCTCACTAGGTGACAATTAAGAACTAAAAAACTATATTAAAATATAATTATGTAGACACTCTACATGTATGTTACATCAATGGGCAGGCTTCACTAGCAGACATGTAAGAACTCAGAAATTCTATGTTACATCAATGGATAGACTTTACAAGGTAACAAGTCAGAACTCAGAAACTCAATGTTACATCAATGGGCAGGCATTACTAGCTGACAGCAACTCAACTACTGCTACACAGACATTCTACATGTATGTATCATCACTAAGTAAACCTCAATAGCAGAAACTGTATTTTGCATCAATGGATAGGCCTTGCTAGCTTACAAGTAAGAATTCAGAAACTTTTTTACATCACTGGGCTAGCTGATACTCTAGGTTAAATCAATGGGCAGGCGCCTTACTAGGTGACAGGTAAGAATTCAGAAACTCTGTTACATCACTGGGCTAGCTGATACTCTAGGTTAAATCAATGGGCAGGCCTTACTAGGTGACAGGTAAGAATTCAGAAAACTCTGTTACATCACTAGGCTAGCTGATACTCTAGGTTAAATCAGTGGCAGGCCTTACTAGGTGACAGGTAAGAATTCAGAAACTCTGTTTCTGTACATCAATAGACAGGTCCCACAAAAGTTAAAAGAACTCTTTGTAACAATATGAAGCAACTCTCATCAATAGATAAATTAAAGCCAGTCAGTCTTGTTATATCAATGAATGATTCCTTATCAGTAGATACTGTACTTGAAGATCATAAACCTATGAAACATTCAAAATTTATTCATTTTTATTTATATACATGTACAATTTTTATCCAAATGTGAAATTTTTTATTGCTTACTTTCAGAATTGGTGATACATCACTGCAAGAGAGAATCAATGTTGAAAATGTTACCAAAGTAAATGCCTATTTAGACAGCTGTGAGAAGAAGCTTGGGAGTTTAGGTAATTTTCTTTTTTTACACATACAAAATCTTTTCCATTTCTAGGAAAAATTTTGTGGATGTAATTTTTGTGCATTGTGTTTACCAAACCTTTCATTTGTGAGCATAAATAATTGTTCATTTGTGTAATGGGTGAATTAAAAAAAAATGACCAAACGCATATTTATCAACCCACACTAAAAATACTTGCAATGAAAATAGATTTCTATGTCTCAGCATATGTCTTTAGATAGTGTCTAAATACCTGCCAAATATCTCGTTGATATCTCAATTAACAAAAAAGTTATGCCCAAAAATGATGCTAAAATTGTCAGGAGTGCAACACCTTTTTGTGACATTTTGAAATTTCAGTATTTTTTGGAGATCTGTGAAATAAAAAATAATGCTTCATGTTGAAAATAAAGACTTTCCTGATAATATTCAAAGTATTGAGCTTTAAATGTGGACTGTCATAACTTTTGTTTACTCAAGTTGTGGTCGTGGCTGATGTTTAAAAAATGTTATACCATGTCAGGAGTGCAACAGAAAAAATGTAGTGTTGCCAAAAAAACATCAATTGTAAAATTCTGATAGAAAATTAAGACAAAAAAGAATTTTGGAAGTGTAAAATAATAACTGATATACATTTTAAAACTTAAAAATGTTATATAAATCACAAGCAGCATTAATGAGAGTCAAGTATATGTGCATACCCAAAAATGTCAGGAGTGCAACATTTGATGTTTTGCTCCCAAGCATGAAAAAACTATTATCATTATATGATTTTCTGATTTTTATTTTGGAAAATAAAGACACTAAGAACATTTTTACCAAATAGATTTATCAATTACAGGATCTGTCTGTGCTTCAGATCCATATTTCTATGGTCAAGAGTGCAATGCATTTTTTTAAAGATTCAAGTTGTGTGACGAAAACACTTCTATTCATGCTTAGAAGTATTCATTAATTAATAATGATCTTTTTGTATAATTTAATGCTAAATTATTGACAGTTTTATTATTAAAATCCTTCCTTTTTCAGTTTTATCAATTCAGATGTGTTTTTGTCTTTTTTGTGATTTTTTTAATGAACGTTAAAAATAAACACACTAAAACATTGTCATTAAATTCAAGTAATTCCTCCTCAACTTCACTGAAACAACAGAACAAGTTCTTATGTAATTTTCACTTCACAATTCTACTTTAAAGGCACCAATGCTTTTGGTCAGGAGTGCAACAAATATGTTAGAATTATAAATCATCCAATAAGAATAAAAATAAAGAAAAAATGACGAGTAGAATTTTTCTGGTGGGTTACTGTGTTTGTCTTCTAAAGGAAAATATGCTTTAAAATATTTTTTATCTTCTAAATATACATTTAAGCTAGTTTTTTGGGCATAAAATAGGATATAATTCCAGATAAAATGTGAATTTTAAATACTTTCATCTGTTTAATTATGAAGTATTGGACTATAAGTATTACACAATTTCATTACCACTTGATGTTGCCAACACTTTATGAATTTTTGTGTTCTATGGTTTTAATTTTAAACTTTATTGCAGTCAGGAGTGCAACAAAACTGGTGCATAATTACCAATGCTTTTGAACTATCTTTACTAAAAAATAAGTTGAAAAAAATGCTTGATACTATTTGATGTTCAAAACACTATGTCTATATCAACAAATTACAGAAAATTTACAGTCAATTCAGGGAATATTTTTCATCGTTTCACATATATTTTAAATACAATTTATATATATTACACTTTGCAAATAATCATGTTTTAAGGTCTTCAAAATATGAAAAACCTGCTGTGAACGATGAAAAATATCAACACGACAAATTGATTTACAAAGTAAGAATGGGTTATTGTGTGTTATAATTTTTAAAACAATGTTAAATAAAATACATATCAGATGTCAGGAGTGCAACACAATAATGTAACATAGGGACACTTCAAAATCTAGTATTTTTTGTAAGAGAAGTCGCATATAACAATTCTTTTTTGGCCTAGATTTAAAGAATTGACTTGAACGGACAAAAAAGTGAACTTTGGGGAATTTTATTGCTTCATATTTTTTTCATATTAAAATTTTTCAAACCAGAATTGAAAAAATAATGTAAAATAACAATCAAAAAGCCAATTTTTTGTCACATGTACAAGAGAAGATACTCATTCAAGGTATAGATTTAATCATTTATACCCCTTTTACCATTTTGAAGCATTAAAAACTATAATTTCTTGCGATTATGTATTTTAGAAAGTCTTTCAAGGTGTAATGATATTTTCTTTTTTCAAAAGAAATTTTACTAATAAAAATTCTGAAACTTTTTAATCCAATTGTCTATTCCATTGCCACTTCAGGATTTTAAACTAGAATGCATTATTTTGCAATATGATGATATAAGTGAAAAATATGTTATAAGTAGTTGAATTTTGCCAAAAAAATTCAGTTTGGTGGTCTTTTTTTTTTTAATTCACCCTAATGCTAAATATTTTTCATTTACATTTCACGTGGGTGTAATTTTGTGAATTTTCATTGATTTCAAAAATTAAAATGATTAATCCACATAAGCATAATTGTCATGTTCAAGGCAATTTTCTGAACCCGCTACCAGATTGAGTTCTGAAATATGTTATTTTTAATATTTCAGACAAAGGAAAATTAGGTCAAGGTACAATAAATGACTTGAGAAACAAACTGCATTACAATGTTAATTCCAAAAAGAGCAAAAATACAGATGTCCTGAAACTGGCTGCAGAGGTATTTATAGTATCTACATATTGTACCAACAGATTTCATTACAAGTAGTTTATTAAATGTTTAAAGATCTTATCCACACAGATTAGGACACATTCAATGATAGTCAAGACTTCTCTGGTGGTGTTGTCATATAAAAATAAGCCCAATCATGTTTGTAGAAAATTTCTGCTTGCACTGGTTCAAAGTTGAAATTTAGTCAACTTTGTGTTCTAACATTTGCTTTGTATGCACTGATCAACATTGTTGAAATTTAGGCAATTTTCCTGTGCTAACATTTGCCCTATTTGGAAATGTACAGCAAACATTACCATAATGATTTGACAGTTTGGTGTGACACAAGTATAAGCTTGTCATTGCCACTGAAAGTCCATACTGTGAATGAAATTGTAATACATGTATCATAAACAGATTACAGTAGAATTAGGGATCTGTATCATCACTCATTGTTTTCTCTGTTAACAGATCTGCAGGAAAATCAATGGGATACGTGTCATCAGTTGTAAGAGTGCTAAGGATAGAACCTCTATGAGTGTAACATTAGAGCAGGTGTACATACTTCAGCAGGAACATGACCTGGCATCACATGTGTTCTCCCAGTCCTTAGACTGTTTTAGAAGGTAATTAACTGGACATCCGACAGTGTAGAGGATTGAAGGCCATCATTTCTCTATCATTCATGTTTGAACTGGATGGTATAGAAGAATGAAAATCGCCATTTTAACTGGACAGTGTAGATTTGAAGGCCATCATTTTTCTATCATTCATATGTTAACTGGGCAGACGGTGTAGAAGAATGAAAGCCATCATTTTTTTATCATTCAAATTTTAACTGGGCAGTGTAGAATCATTTTTCTATCATTCACTTTATAACTGGACTGTGTAAAAGATTGAAGGCCATCATTTTTCTATCATTCACTTTTTAACTGGACAGTGTAGAAGATTGGAGGCCATCATTTTTCTATCATTCACTTTTTAACTGGACAGTGTAAAAGATTGAAGGCCATCATTTTTCTATCATTTATGTTTGAACTGGACAGTGTAGAAGATTGAAGGCCATCATTTTTCTATCATTCACTTTTGAATGATTTAATTTATTATCGTGGTGTGCAATACACATACAGCATCTAGATTTATTTTAACATACAATGAAAGATAGTATTGTGAAATCATACATTTAATTTCCATAACACATGCATTTTCTGATATTGACATATCCAGTTTGTTATTGATTTTTTTTTTTTTCAGTGAAGGAGTCAGGAGAGAAAACACATATAAAAACATTGGTTCTAGAAAATATGCCTTTAATAGTTTCCAACTTCTGTATGTTCCCAAACTCTATAGACCACCAAATGGGACTTATGGGAATGTTCAGGGATGATTCTTAAAGTCTGCTGACTTACATGTGTTATGTGTCATATCCTTATAGTCTTTGATGAGATACAAAATATCAGAATGCTCATTGTTAAGTGTGTGTATTGACTACGCACATGTACATGTCTGATTTGTTATACATTGTCAAGGAGTTTTCTCCACTTGTCCTAGTACATGGATCTGTATAAAGTGTGATTGTTATGTTTATTACCTCTTGTTAAAACTTGTTGTCTTTATAAAACATACACTATATGGAAAGAAAGTATATGTACATGTGCATTGTATGTCCTGTTAATTTTTACAAGTGATGAGACATTTACACAGACCAGTATGTCACATGAGGGCTATTTTTTATCCAGAAGATCATTACAAGTGCTTTGATCAGAGTAGGGAAGTATCTAATCAGATAAATAGCCTTACTGTGTACTTTGTTCTATAGGCATTATTTTGTACTCTTAACAATAGAATTGTCACCCAATACCTATATACATATAGAGTAATAACCTGATGAGTGTTTCTGTCATGTTCTTAACTGATAACTAGTCATTTGTGGGAAATTTCGTATAAATGAATCAATAGTCAATTACTTTTTTGCTCACCTTAGTAAAACATTTAAGAACAAACTTAGCGTTATTCAAAGTCAAAAGAAATCCCAGGTTTGAAAAGTGACCATCTTATTTAAATGATACAGCTCAGATGTTTTTAGTCTTGCATTTTTTTTTTATATGTAAGTTTAGAGCTTTGAGAACAAATAATTAAACAGGTTGTAATTTTCATATATTTTAAGTGATAAAGATCCTTCATAATTAAGCTTTCATGTTTTATTAATTTACAATGAATTCAATCATTTTAGAATTTCTAACAATAAAACTACTTTGTAACATTTATTACTTTGTAACATTTATTATTTTATAAGATTTACTTTAACTCTAGAATCAGCAAATAGAATTTCTGGAAGGATGAATTTTCATTATCTTTTTAAAATACATATGTAAATGAAATTCCTTACATTTTTTTTTCAAACAGGTTTAAGGTATACAAACAAATTAATATCAGTGGTGCTATTTATTAATACCTGAAATGATGAAAGATAATTAATTATGTGGAATTTCTTTTGATTACATTCTAACTGTATAACTGTTTTGTTATATGTTTGTGAGGAGATATGTATATTTGAAAATTAAGCTGTCAGATGTGATATATGTGCAATTACTTTTATAATAAATTGTTATCTGTTTTCCCTTGTTACTTGTATGAAAACTTTGCTGATACAGTTGAATTTAAAAGACACAGGCAATTTCCCTATTTGCCATTCAGTAATATTTATTCTATATACATGTATGGTATGAATTTATTTAAAACATACATAATTCCTATGTTCATTGAATATTCCTATGTTTTGCACCTTTTTAAAATTGCCCCCCCCCCTGAATATTTTTATTTCAAGATTTGTAATGTAACTTAAAGAAAATGCAATAGTTTAAATGGTTCTTTTGAAGAATAAATTTGCAATTATTTAAAAAAACAAAAAACAGAAGTCTCTGTCGAGTCTGTAGTTCTACTGGTTTGTACTTAAGGACATTGGCAAGTCAAGGTTTTCCGGAGAAAGAAGGTTTAATACATGGGTTTTTTCACTTATAGAATAGTGATTGAGAGTGATCTCCCGTGTAGAATTCTCTAAGCGGTGGAAACCAATAAAGCGTATGTTACAGAGGTAAACAAAAGCACGTGTACTTCCTTCAACGGGTAGAATCATCTATACAGCAAGAAAGAAAAGTAGTAATGGCTTTGTTGCACATTGTATTCAGGGACAAAGAGCCAGTAGGTCGTCATTTACGATAATTGTGCTCAGTATGCTGGGAAGGGCAAAGATGTGACATATGCTGAAAGGTAGGCCGACTGAGAACAGTTCTTAGCTAGGTCGTGTGAAGGAAGCAGCATTTAGTAACTACGAATAAAAAATAAAAATTAAACAATGCCAATATTTTTGTTACAATGTGTTTCAATCAATTCAGTCAACTACATGATAAAAACAATCAACCAGTCTCTTGATCAATTTAAGCTGTTAAGGGAAGCAACTCAGAAATAATGATCGGTGCCGGTATATCCATGTTTTGTTCCGATATATAAGTTTTTAGCCAAGATTTCTAGAAGTCATAGGAAATGAAGATACAATAATGTATATAATACAAAAACTGTATGAAATAAGTGGGTTTTGGAAAAATATTATGGTGAAAAATTATGTAGGTCCCTTTTATCAACATTTTACATAGGAAATACATTGAGAAGTGTAAAAACATTGATTTGATAAAATCTAAAAAAGAAGGTTGGATTGGCAGGTTAAACGGTCCAGAATATCGCCTGTTTAGTACATTTAAACCTACTCAAAAGTTCTTGAAAAATTCTATACGATAACCAGGAACCTTGCCAATGTCCTTAAAACAAAGGAAGAGAAAAGTAGCACTTGGACTTGAAACTTTGCAACAGCAATAAATAAATAATAATCCTTGTTTTACTCTCTTTTTGTGGCAAGATGAATTGCAATCAGGCTAAACTGTAGAAGGAGTAGCCTTTTAAAAGAATTTTAGAGAATTTTCGATTTTAGTTACCATGGCAACATTATTCATCAAAATCAAAAAAACAATAAAGACAGTTATGTGTCTCGGTGTAGTCTACTTGCATGCCAAGTTATATTAAAATCAGACTAAATTGTGGGTGAAGTAATGTTTTAAAAGTATATCAAAGAAATTTCATTTTTTTTTTGTAACCATGGCAACACTTCACCATAATCAAAAAATAAATATACAGAATTATGCATCTCAGTGTAATACTTGTGTGCCAAGTTATATTGAAATCAGACCAAAACTGTAGGAGGAGTAGCATTTTGAATGTATTTCACAGGAATTTCTATTTTTAGAAACCATGGCAACACTATTCACTGAAATCAAAAACAATATACAGAATTATATCTTAGTGTAGTCTACTTATGTGCAAAGTTATATTGAAATCAGACCAAAACTGTAGGAGGAGTTGGTTGCATTTTGAATGTATTTCACAGAAATTTCTATTATTAGAAACCATGGCAACACTGTTCACCGAAATCAAAAACCAATAAATAGAATTATGTGTCTTAGTGTAGTCTTCTTTTGTGCCAAGTTATATTGAATTCAGACCAATACTGTAGGAGGAGTAGCATTTTGAAAGTATTTCACAGAACTTTCTATTTTTAGTAACCATGGCAACACCGTTAATCGAAATCAAAACATGCAGATACAAAGGATTATGTATTTTAGTGTAGTCTACTTGTGTGCAAAATTAATGAAATCTGACCAAAACTGTAGGAGGAGTAGCATTTTGAAAAATTGTTTACAGACAGACAGCTAGACAGATGGACGGACGACGGACACCTTACTGTATCGCCTAAGCTCTTCTGGTCTCTGACCAGTAGAGCTAAAAAAACAACTCTAATATGATACACTCCACTGCTATAGGTTATCTCATCCTTTCAAATGAAATACACAGTTACATAAGCGAATGAAGTTTTAGTCAGCATCGATGGCCCAATTGAAGTTTTAAGAGCAAATCTATTCCCAAGTAACTACATATATAAACCCTACCTGGAACAAACTTCAGCTAGAGTAACTGTGAGCACTCTATACCCTCTCATCCCATTTGAGTAGGGATGTCAACGTATAGTCGACTATTCATTGACATCCCTACAAATTTCACAGGTATATTCTTTGTGACAAGACCTTCCTTTGGATACCAACAATTTTGATTTTGACCTTCGAGTTTGACCTACTTTTGAAAAACTGAAACCTTCGCCATAACTTTTGAACAGTTGGTGGTAGGGCTTTTATATTTTGCAAGTGTACTTCTTATGACAAGGTCTTCCCCCTGCGTACCATTAATTTTAACCCTTTGACCTTGACCTTGGAGTTTGACCCACTTTTAGAAAACATCAACCTTGACCATAACTTTTAACTGGTTGGTGCTTGGGCTTTTAATTTATATTTACAAGGTATATCCATTGATACAAGTCGTTTCGTTGGGTAACAACATTTTTGATCTCTTGATCTTGACTTTGGAGTCTTGCATTTGAGAAACTTTAACCTTCGCCATAAGCTTCCATACAGGGGCATCAGTGTTTCATAAACACATCTTGTTCTCAATGAGTTATCAGGTTAAAGTTTTTGGAGAGAGTTCATTCCAGTTAACTTTTAACCTTTCCTAGAGCAAAATTGCTTGGATGATACAACTAGCCATGATGCACATTATAGACTTTCTTTGGATGCTGGATCTGACCTACATTTTCCGGATGAGTAACAAAGTTAAAGTTTTTGGAGCAATTTCATTCTAATGTTAACTTTTATCCCTACCCTGAAGACCAAACATGCATGATAAACCTAGGGATGTACACTACTAGATGATTTGTTTAACATGGGACGTTGCCTTATACATGTACTTAAAAATACATTCATTGAGGTGAGCTTTGTAGTCTTTGATTATCTATGTTTGGATGGATGAATGACCTGGTGAATTTGTTTAGAGCAGGTCAATTCCCATGTAATCATAAAAACTATCATAACCACACTCACATTTATGGTGCATAAAGGGATGCACAATACCAGAATTGCTTCAGATTCTGGATCTGACCATCATTGGACTAGTGACCAGGTTAAATTTTTTCTATGTAGGTCCATTTCCAGGTATTTGCATCTCTGCCTGGACCAAACTTACATGGGTGATGTATACATCTAGGGAAGCACTCTTCCACATGCTTCAGATGCTGGATCTGGCCTATATGACTGAACAAATAAAAAGTTTTGGAGCAGGGCCATTTTTAAGTAACTGTATGTCTACAGGTGACCATAAACTTGAATGGATGATGCATTTTGGGATACACACAACCAGACTTACTTCAGATGCTGGATCTAACTATTTTTGGATCCATGAACAGATTAAAAGTTTTTAAAGCAAGTCTATTCCCCTAGCAAGCATAAGCTATATAGTGACTAAACTGCATGTCATTTAGAGATGTAATGATTATAAGTAAGAACCATAACTCTGTATTGTATGTTGTTTTGGATTATCACCCTTGATTAAGAGTCTGAAGGCAGTGATGTGTTGTCCATGTAATGGATCATAAAATCCTTAGTTAATCTTTAGTAATCCAGTGATCAAGGTTACTACACACACTACCAGAATATTCATTTGGTATGAGACTTTGTCTTACTTATGAATACATCTGTTTTGGTCAAGGTGATCTCTATGATCCTTACCTATGTTTATTCTCTACAAACATACAATGACTTCGGTGGCCACCTCCTCTGTCACAGATCAAACATGCTTTAGTCTTTGATCTAATTGTTTATTATATACCCAACTGTTTGTCACTCAGTTTTACTGTTGAATTTATGCAATCACGTGACGGTGTGATCCGACGTTCCGGATCACCACACGGGAAGGTATAATGCCCTGATAGTATAATGCCCTGATTGACCTGATTACATATATATAATGAAATTAAGAGTTTTTATGTGCATAAACAATATTATTTTTATTGGAAATGATGAATATTATAATTTTCTATAAGAATCATGAAGAAAATGAAAAATAAAAATACTTTTATTATGTTTTATTTGATACACAAAATTGACAGGGGTATAATGTCCTGATTTTGGGGTATAATGACCTGATGACCTGATTGTATAAAAACTGCTATTAAACCCAATTCAGCATAATTTTCATATTACAATTTGATTAAATATCTTTTAAGGATTATATATGAAAGTAGTTTAATTAAGTGTGGGAGAAAATATCTACTATATTTTGTTCAAAATCACTTTTGAAG